TAATAATAATAATAATAATAATAATAATAATAACAGTAATAATAATAATAACAATAATAAAAACAATAATAATAACGGTAATAACAATAGTATGGCGCCCAACTTGCCTTTCATCGTGTCTTTGTGTGACGTCTGACCTCTCTCTCACCCACTCACGTGACAAAATAAGAAAATTCATATCATCTTACACTGTCAAGTTACACAAGACAACACCGAACACTGGATAACGAACAAATACACAATTAACATAAGCTTTCCAAACTAAGCTGAGTGACGTCTTTTGTTAGTGTTATCTCTCAGGCTTATAATAGAATAGGAAAGAAAACTCGGAGGGAAAAAAAAAACTTGGTGGTGTGGAGTCCTCCTCAAATATGACCCGAGGACAAGGAAACGACTTGTGTGTGTGCGGCCTTGAATCATTTTTCTTTCTTTTTTGAAGTATTGATGAGAATATACTTGCTCAGTTTAATTCATCTTATCATTTTGGTTTAGTAAATATATTTTTAAATGAATCCTTATGTTACCAGATCATTAGACTTACAATATATGTGATTGGTCAACTAGAAATATGACTCAAACTAGTTATTACCATAGTTGTGTGTGTGTGTGTGTGTGTGTGTGTGTGTGTGTGTGTGTGTGTGTGTGTGTGTGGAATGAAGGGTGGCAACGCTGGTGCAGTGAATCATGATTGGCTGGCTGGGTGGGCTGGACGAGTGAGTGTAAAATTCCTAGAGAGAGACCAAGACAGCATCAGACGTGTACTGGCCGTCGTGGTGGACGCATCCATACGACTGGTCATCCTTAGCCTCACAGTGAGAGACAATCACAGAAGATACGGTAAGACTACACTTCAATGCAGATGTCGTGCATATAGTAATGGTGAAAATGACTTGGAAAGGAAAATTAAGAGTGGCTTGTGGATATGTACTGATGTTGGTGATGTGATAACTAGTGATGGAGGTGTTATTATTAGTGTTGGAGATGTTATTATTAGCGTTGGAGGTGTTATTGTTAGTGTTGATGATATTAATAGTGTTGGTGATGCTATTACTAGTGTTGGAGGTGTTATTATTAGTGTTGGAGATGTTATGACTAGTGTTGATGTTATGACTAGTGTTGGGGATGTTATGACTAGTGTTGGGATGTTATGACTAGTGTTGGAGATGTTAATACTACTGTTGATGTTACGACTAGTGTTGGAGGAGCTATAACTCGCGTTGGATATACAGGTATTATTACTAGTGTTGGATATGTTATGAGTAGTGTTGCAGATACTACCACTTGATGTGATGTTATCATTAGTTTTGGCCACGTGAAGAAAAACACGTCTTCGGGTAGCTGGCCAGATGACCCTCTGATAAACAGCTGTGGTCGAGGAAATACCACAAGGCTCATGCGTTCAGTTGTATAAATCCACCCAACCAGTTTTTCCATTATCTTCCTAGTTGTCAGTTTATTTGTCGTAGTTTATTTACAGAGGAAAAAAATGGTCCAATGGGTATAATAATCTTAATGGTCGCCCCTCGTGTAACAAGAAAGGCCGTGAATTTGTTTAAGGTGAAGAAGATGTCGCCAACACAACGATTTAACAAGTTGCATGACCCAGTGTCAAGGAATAGTCCGAAAAGACCGGACAACTCGCCAACTGCACTGGCTAACCATTACCCCCGGAACACGATCCGCAAATCGATTAACATCCAGGTCCCCAATTACTGCCGGGTAGACAGAGGCAAATGGCGTAAAGAAACGTCCTCATAGTTTCACCCTGCCCGGGGATCGAGAACTCCGGGTCCACTCACTTGCGAGGCGAGCGTGATGACCATTACATCACAGGTCGCGAACGGGTAATTATTCAGAGACGAGGAGAGTCCATTTTGCTTTCTCAGCCGTGATCCTTACATAAGAAAATAAGGAGTCTGCAATAAGCGGGTTGGCCTGTGCATGGCAGCTCCTGTCGAGAGTTACTACCACTCTCTATCATCCATGAATCTATCTAGCCTCCTTTTGAAACTTTCCAGCGTTCCAGCACTTACTACAAAGTTGCTAAGCTTGTTCCACTCGTCCACCACCCTATTTGTGAACCAGTTTCTTCCTATCTCCCTCCTAAACCTAAGCTTATCCAACTTAAATCCGTTGCTCCGAGTCCTATCCTGCTCGGATATTATAAGAACTTTATTTATATCGCCTTTATTGATTCCTTTCACCCACTTAAATACTTCTATCATATCTCCCCGCACTCTTCGTCTTTCTAGGGAATGCAAGTTTAGTTTAACCTATCCTGATATGGAAGGTTTCTAAGTCCCGGAATCATTTTCGTCATTCTTCGCTGCACCGACTCTAGTGAATTTATATCCATTCTATAATAAGGGCCCCAGAACTGAACCGCATAATCCAGGTGCGGCCTGACTAGCGCAAGATATAGTTGCAATAAGACCTCTGCACTCTTGTTACTTACACTTCTTGATATAAAACCCAATACTCTGTTTGCCTTATTTCGAACATTAACGCACTGTTTTCTAGGCCGTAGGTCCGGGCTTACAAGTTGAGAGAGAGAGAGAGAGAGAGAGAGAGAGAGAGAGAGAGAGAGAGGATCACCATCACCATGTTATTTTGGCGTAACAGCTGAGTTATCTTGTCCCTAATATTTTTTTTTTTACATATAGCGGACTTCTCTGTCCATATACTCCGTTAGACGAAGGTTTCACATGCAACGAAGCACAAATATTTTTCTGATATTATTTACCTTTATATTTTATTTTGTCTTCATGGCTAAATCTTTCTAACTGTTCTTAAGGAAAAATCCCACAAGGCGGTACAGTAAAGGTCTATCTCCCTGACGGACTGTGAGTTCAGCCCTGTGTCACGTTGGTATTTCCCACGTGATTCCCCTAAGTTAATCCAGCCTCCCGCACATTCTTGGTGTTGGCGATGCTGTTACTAGTGTTGGGGATGTTGTTACTAGTGTTGGTGATGCTGTTACTAGTGTTGGGGATGTTGTTACTAGTGTTGGAGATGTTGTTTCTAGTGTTGGAGATGTTGTTTCTAGTGTTGGCGATGCTGTTACTAGTGTTGGGGATGTTGTTACTAGTGTTGGAGATGATGTTACTAGTGTTGGAGATGTTGTTTCTAGTGTTGGAGATGTTGTTACTAGTGTTGGAGATGTTGTTACTAGTGTCGTAGATGTTGTTACTAGTGTTGTAGATGTTGTTACTAGTATTGGGGATGTTGTTTCTAGTGTTGTAGACGTTGTTACTGGTGATGATGATGTTTCTAGTGTTGGAGGCATTAGGTTAGGTTAGGTTATAATATTACTGGGTGTTATTTGTTACCTTTAGAAACAAGATTGAAGTGGAAGTTTCAACTCAGAGGGTCAGGTTGCTGACCCTTGGGGCTATTACGTCAAAGTAAAGGTTGTAGGTAACAATCATCCCGCCGGCAGGAGCGCCAAGATCTTCATGTCACCTTAGAACTTACCTGTATATTTCAACGTGTTTCTGAGGTCACCATTCCACAGGTAGATCCCTCGTCACTGGGCAGAATACCACAGTGATTCTTGGAGAATGGTATACATTTGATTCTATATCACCCACAATCTTTAAACACTTCCTTACAAAACACTAATGAATTTCTTAATAATTTTTGGGGTGTTCATACGTAAAGTCACATAATATATTTACAATGATCCAAGATTAATGAATTTCGTAATAATGTTTTGGGTGTTCTTACGTAGAATCACATTAAAGTTATCAATGATACAAGATGAAGACTTTCTCTAATAGGTGTTATCCTCACCAGAGTAAGAGTGAATCTAACGACGGGCAGTGAACAGATCTCTTATATATGTATGTAGCCAGCTTGCTCTCTCAGGCTCCCATTCAAGGTTCCCACACTCATTCAGGTATTAAACAGAGGCTTTTCTGAAGTCTCTCCACCAGAACGACTGCTGTCTGCTTGGAGCTTGGTCACTGATAGAGAACCGTGCATGCAGTAGGTTAGTCATGCAAAGAGTGGGACTATCTAAACCAACAGGTGTGTACGGGGGCAGGTAACATATATATATACACACCTCCCCATGTCTCACCGAGTTGTATATAATGGCGTGGCTGATGTTGTAACAGTCACCACCACTGATCAGTAGAGAGTGAAACATTACAAGTCAATAATCACACGACCAGCACGGTGACCAAGAACCTGAGGGTTATACCGTAAAGGAACTGATTGAGACGTGGCGTTGGCCTTGTCATGCTGATTTAAGACTTTATTACAGGGGGAATATGTCAAATGTATTGTTTATAAAGTCTTAAGATAATATTAGTCGTGATTAAAAATGTTAACAGTGGTAAGGGTCGCTCCATACCTTCCCAACGTGTGTGAGTTAGGTTAGATTAGGTCACTTTTTATTAGAAACTGTAAAAAAAAAACCCTCTCCAGATGCTCTTGGTATCTGACATATGTACTTGCATCATAAAGTTAATTTCCTAGTACCGTCAAGTCCACACCAGTAAGTCTAGTATTGCGCAAATGTTAGACAGAATCCATTTCCGTTACACCTAGATCAGAATGATGAGAGGATTACGAGTGTCGCTCTACTGACCGTCAAGATGGCGGGGTAAACAGGCTATGACATCATCAGTTTCTCATAGACCACCTCCTTCTCCCCGTCACCTCCTTCTCCCCGTCCCCTCCTTCTCCCCGTCCCCCCCTCCTCCCCGTCCCCTCTTCCTCCTCCTTTCTCTTCAAGCGGCTGCCCATCAGGTAAATGACCTTCACAAAACAATTAACCCATTGCGTGGAAGGGAATTTTCTCACCTGGATAAAGCCGTCTGGCGTTAAGCAGCACAAAACACCAAACTAAGACAGTATACTCCTTCATGGCTTTAATTACACAAGGTTATCACAGACGAGAGCTTTTCTATTATTCAGGTCGGTTATAAACATGAAATATAATAATTCCAATGGAGGTTCTTCATTTAAAAACCGTATATTTTTTCTCCCATTAGATATTTAAGAACTGCAGTTACAAGATCTATAAAACAAAGAAGATCTTCCTCCCTGAAGCAACGATAAAGAAGAAAGGAAACAGCAGAGGTCATCACTAGTTAAAGTTAATACACGAACAATGGGTGAGATGGAGAGAGGCGTGTACGAAGTGGAGGCAGCCATGATCGGGGAAGGGGAGACGCCCAGACGAGACAGAGGCTGCTGTGGCAAGTGGTGTCGTCATGGTTTCTCCTTCTGGTGCAAGAAATATTTCTGGGAAGGTGAGCATTAGTCGAGTTATTTTTAATGGGTAAACTCCATCTCTTATCTTGTTTCCTAGAATATTTTTAATTGTGTTTAACTGGCTCTCTGGAACCCACTTCTGTGTAGCTTTATTTGTGTGTGTGTGTATTTTCTGCCATGACTCACTTTCAGTAGATTTTTCCTCTCTCGACTCACGTTTTCCCTGAAGGCACATGATTGGGCAAGAACATGATTCTCAACAAAAAGATCCCCAGTTTTGACGAAAATTTTATACCGTCATCACAAAAAAAATAATAAATTTTCAACTATCGCGGAATATAGGTTTAATAAAATAGATATACGTAAATATAATACTGTTCCTTATTCACTTACCAACTAATGTGATCAAAATTATAGAGATCAGCTCAAAGTTCTCCCCCAGCTTATTCCACCTGAAGAATAACCACCCTAGCCTAACCTCATCCCCTCAGGTGACATAAGCTGGGGTAGGGAGGGGTCACTCTTCAGGTAATCTAATTAAGGTATCTACAGGAATCATTGTTTACCTGACGACGAGTATAGTGTTAAATGCAACTAACGTCTTGTCCGGCTGTCTGCTCTAATGAAATATCGCCCCTAATTGTCATTCTCGTTCGTGTGTGTGCGTGTTTTTACAATACGTCCTAGGTTCGATCCCGGAGTAGATGCGAAGACGACACTCTATCATGATTGAAGGAGAAACTCATCAGGAACAGCGAGGCTCTAAACTAACCACAGGCATCTTTAACCTCTTAAAACGGTATAAGAAAGATAAACTAAAGACGAAATAACAACTGCACCTCATGGAAACCTAACACATTGCAGGAATTTAAGAGAATAGTTTTTTTTTTTTGGCATTCCGTTATCGCAGTTACGTGACCTAAAGACAATTGATCACTACGATGTCTGTCACGCCAAGAAACATTACCATTGCAGAGGCATGACTTTCAATGCTTATGCACTCAGTCATAAGATATTTAAATACACGAGATATAGTGTTGAGGAAAATTATCACCAATGTTATAACAGCACAGGTTGTCAAGATCCGGAGGCTGTCAACGTGTGCTGTCATAACATAGTGAACTAGTGGTGTGATGGCAACAAGACACTGGAAGCTTACATCAATTTGTGGTTGGAAGTGGAATTGTGTATAAGAACGAACAGCTGTCAAAGAATAATGGTAAAACAGGTATTAAAACAACGTCATTTATACCATTACCCAGGTCAATTTCATAGAGTAATTATGTATATAAGTAACGTATCATCACATCTCGGATACATTAGTTACGGTATAAGATAATCAGCGTTACTTACAGGGTTACCACGCTGTCTGGATTTCCCGATGTCTTTGTTGATAATGGTAGGCATGAAGGGTGATATTGTACACAGTAGTTTAGTCACGATACTTCATTCTCATAATACATTTGCCATTCAACAATTATTTATCATGAAAAAATTGTTTTCTTGGAGCCCGACCAAGATGGATAAATATTTGACCATTTATCTTTAAAAAAATATACGATTATTAGCAGATAAATAACGTGTCATACAGCTGTCACAATACGAGGTCGAAATATTGTTATTATAAAGGTGAACCATGGCAGATAGATAGTGGCTTGGAAACACCATGGCAGATAGATAGTGGCTTGGAAACACCATGGCAGATAGTGGCTGGGAAACACCATGGCAGATAGTGGCTGGGAAACACCATGACTTCACCGCCTCTTTTAAGATGTCTTTTTAGCCACAAAATTCTATGAACCAACAGGAAATTTCAGTTGGCTGTATTATAGTAAATATAAGTGAAAGAACCCCATGACGACTGCTTGCCTAACGTGATAACTATTTCATTTCTGAGTCTAGATCAATTTATGTCACTCGTGTGTTCTATGCCTATGGTGTATATTATAGCCTAAATAGTTGAAAGAGGATACAATAGTCAAGTGGCCACACGTCATTGCTTTTACAATCCTTCCGCATATTATTCAATCCATTGTTGACTTAGCTACGTCAACAGTGAACGTTGATCTTTCCTTTCACCTGCAATAAAGACACGAGAGCAAACTCTTCAACATGTAGTGGCCGACTACTTTCTGTTGATGTTAGCAACTTACGCAATTCTGCTTCTTTTACGCGTATCATTTATTTGATCTTCCTGGTCTGGTACAGCCGTCAACAACACATGGCTGACAAAAGTAAATGTTAAAACCCCACTGTAGTTCAGCTAAGGTAACCATAATATACCTGACACTAAATACCATAGACGAATTATGTAGTGTGGTGGTATCTACAAGGTATCACTATACTTGTAGATACTATGCAAGGGGCGGAACACAGCTGCAAGGTCGAGCGGTACGAGTCAGAAAAGGACTGTCTTAAAGGTGACTTGCAGTTAACAGGAAGACATAATCACTTGACCGAATCACCGGTCGACCTATAGCTCCGTTTAATACGATGAAAATGACTCGGTACAAGAGGAGCTTAATGCCAAAGAGGCCTAAGGATATCACCCAGACACCCAAGTCACTAAGATCGATGACAAACAAACGGAGTAACCACTAAGTTCCTCCTTTGATCTTTGTGTCATCTGAAGACGGGATGGGAAGTCTATGAGTAGCTCTGAAGTTTACCCTCACCCTGATCTTGTAAAACCACCCTTCCCGATAACTGTCTCGTAATAATAATCGTATTTTGATAGCTTGTACAGTCAGATATGTGTGTGATAGTATTATTTGCATTCCTGATATTAATATGTTCCATAATTTGGGTTCTGAAAAAGAAAATTTGTAATATTAATCATTTCCACTTGACTCTAGCGGTTACGCAGCATGACAGGGTGAAAATAATGACCTTAAAAGTTGCCTAAAAACGAATCCTTTAAATTTAAGGAGGGCGCTGGTTTCCATGTTCACGATACATCTTGATCATAGCGTCTAGTGTGTGGTATAACATCCATACACATGATGGTGATCGATGTTGTGTTTCTTCCCCCACCAACTGTTGTTTAGTTTAATATAATAATAGTAATGTCATTATTGAAATTTATTGTACACAGAATATCAGGAGTATTAAGGTTCGGCTTCAGCTGTCGTTTCGGGGACTGTCGTTTATAAACATTTCATATTAGCTGTTTAATATAGGCAGATTTTCTATTTACTGTATTGCTCTGGGTTTTTTCACAGGTCGCTTCGTGTTTGAGACTTAGTAAAACTCAATGATAATTACCGCTCATATTGTGGAGACGCATGGACTAAAACTTGCCTTATATGAAATGGTGTCACAGTTAACACCACACGCAAAGTGGACCGGATGTTTTTAAATTAAAACTCGGATGACTTTAAAATGATAAGATAATTCAGTGGCACACAGTTCTAATTAAGGATATTTATCACCTACAGGTCAACTGAAGCAAGGAGCAGGTGATGAAGGCTACGATGAGGTCAGCACTGCAGGACCATTCTCTAAGTTGTCACCCATCAAACGTAAACTGGCGGGACTGTTCATTCCTGCCGCTTTCTTTCACTTCTGGTACTGGTGTATTATGTACTACAGGGACCTCTTCTATGTGTTCGCGGACAGATACCCTATGACCATTGCAATGATCCCCGGCTCTATCATTGCTGGTGAGTTGTATAGTGCGTTGAAAGTATAGTTTAGAATCAGAGGGTTGGCGACCACAGTCCTTCACTCTAAAACATTCTGGGGCTGTTTTTACCAATCCTTTAAGATTTTGTATCTCTTTGGTGATCCAGTTTTTAATTTAATTCATCCATCCCAGTCTCTGCCTTCGCCTGTCCCTCCTACCCCCTATCCTCAACTTTACCCTAACTATATGACCAAAGTATCCCAGTTTTCGTTTTCTACCCATTTCAAGTATTTCTCTTTATTTTTGCTAACCTTAGTATTACTTCATTTATTTCCCCGTCCATGTAACTTATTCTTAGTCAATAGCTCTTTCTCAGGGTATTTGGGTTTATATACTTTGTAATTCCAAATCCCATGAACCACAGGCTATTTACTCAGATCTTCCCACTTATTGAATTATCCAATACGACGAAAAACTCGCTCGCTGACTCGACTTTGATAACTGACCTTGTGTGTAATGCTGGGCAAAATCGCTGTTCTAATTACTGTACTGAACTGCCTCGATATTTACACGTCTATCAGGTTTACCCGAATGATGACGACATTTCTTTAAGTTTTGTTATGTAATTGGGTTTTATAAGATTCGTTGGTCAGCTACTTTAGGAAGACAGACGATTAGCTAGTGGAACATGTATGGATATGTCGCTTTGTCAGTAAAGTTCATGTTGGCATAAGGCATTTTGTAAATATGAAACACACACACACACACACACACACACACACACACACACACACACACACACACACACCCACCCACCCACCCACCATGAAAAATTACAATAAAACCAAAACATTTTTATATTTTATTTTCAGGAATGACAAGTGTGGGTGGCGGAGCTATAGCCTTCCCTGTGATGACATTGGTGATGAACGAGACGCCGGCGGTAGCACGAGACTTGTCCTCCTCAATACAAGCTAACGGGATGATTGCTGCCTCCTTCTCTATCCTCTACATGAAGGTTCACATCGAGAAACAGTCCTTATTATACAGTTTCTTGGGATCTTGTGCAGGAGTGATATTCGGGCTGGAGGTTATTGACCCCATATTAACACCATCCATGAAAAAAATGGGCTTTGTTAGTATTTTCTTCTCATTTGCATTTACTTTGTTTATAATTAATTGGAATCACAAGAGAAAGACATTCAATAACATTCCAGACTTGACTTGGTGGAAGATTTTATTAATTCTTGTGTTTGGATTTATCGGTGGTATATTTACGTCCTTTTCCGGTAGTGGCGCTGATATATGTATGTTCAGTCTCCTCACCCTCTTCTTTAAGGTGTCTGAGAAAGTAGCGACGCCTACCTCAGTGGTGTTGATGGCTCTTTCTTCTGTCGTATGTTGGGCTTGGAGGTCCGCCGTCACCCAGGAGATGCCACAGGAAAGCTGGGATTATCTCTTTGCTCTGATCCCCGTTGTTACGATAGGTGCTCCGTTTGGTGCCCTGATTGGGACACATTTCCATCGACTAGTGCTGGCCGCTTTTGTTTACATCCTGAACACTGTTTCCTTAATTGGTGCTTTTCTGATAGTTCCACAAACTCCCGCTCTTACTGGGGGCTCTGTAGGTGTTATAGTGGGCATGTTCTTCTTCTTCTCATGCATAAACAAACTTGGGGATCAATTGAATGCCAAACACGAGAAACTTATTCCCAACAAACTGGAAACTAACGTGAGGATGATAAAAGTAGCGGCCAAATAGTTCCGAGTGACTTAAAAATGTACTCACGTTTTCTTCGGGTGAATGTGATGGAACTCTCTTGCGTCACAGTACCTTAGTATTATCTGCTGTTACTCTTCATGGTCGTCTAGTTTTGTTATTTTTCGTTATTTTATCAACATTGTAATGGATTAGGGGAGGTGCACTCGATACTGAGGGAGGAAGCCAAAGATAATATCCAATTTTCCTCCTTAAAATGAAAATATCCCCAGAATTAGTGTTTTTCAGGGATAATTAATATTCCCACAAATAGTCAGTATGTTAAGATAATAAAAATTTCCCCAATAATAGCCCCGCAATCAATTTTTTCCCCAATAAAAAAGTTCCCCAGTACTGTCAATAATCACCGTTGTAATGAGACGTTAAAAGGTAGGATGAACTGATGGTGGTGTTGGCCATGGCCGCATAAACCAAGGGCGGCCAGTAGCTCAGGGCTGAGTGAAGAAAGTTTAGTTAAAAGTTGTCTACCAGGTGTAACGAAAGTGGAGTCGGCCTGCAGCCTTGTAACTTGAAACCGGCTGAATTAAACAGCTAAAATCAGCTATATAATGAACCGCCTCAATGTCACCGTGTTCCTGAGTCACACACACACACGGGTATAATTATTTTACCATGCTACATCCAAGAGATAAGAAAAATGATTATATGGTTTACTAACGCTACTCTTGCCCTACAATTAAGGACCTAAGACTACGTTAGGTGACTCTCTAGATGGTAGTTAGAATCAGATAATTTTTATTCAGATGTCATGTCTTAGTTCCGCTGTGGTTAAGTCCTTGTGGGAAGTTTCAAGTCGTATGCATTTTCAGACGCAGGATTTAGATCTCAAGGTTCAATATGTCGGAGAAAACATGTTTGTCTTATTTTACAACTCCCTGGTGACTACAATACGCTTGATCTTAATACAGTATTGTAGTTAAAGCTCAGTAATGCAATGTAATGATGTATTTGTGTCAATGGTGGTATCTACGTGGCAGTTGTACAAATATTCGTATTATGAGGGAATTGTCTCATCATTGTGGAACTCTTTTTGTTACTTTAGCTCACAGTTGACTCTCGATTAATTCATTACAATAAAGAAAAGAATAAAAAAAAGAAAAATAACAAGAAGCTCTGGAAGTTATCAACAAGTCATTTCGGTAAAGTCAGAGACACCAATGAGCCCTTAAGCAGGTATCACACTGAGCAAAATGTCCATCGTTCTCGGTCAAAAAACTGAAGTCCCACAACACTCTGCATCACCCCACTTTACCAACAAGGGAAGTTGAAGTAATTGGTGAGGCTTGAGATTCCATTCTGGCTCTGTTCAGTGGCTGTAAACTATAGGCAAATTAAATGTTATCTGTATGTAGAAATACTCTGATTATAATATATTTGCATTTAAGCCACTTAAAAGTATTTCTTAATAATTTGTTTTAACATAATCAATGTCCTTCAATTATTAAAATTATAAAACTTCAATTGAACCCGAAATGCAGTCAAAATTTGCCATAGAACTGCCTTACTTTGTTTTCCTCAGATCTCAGTTTTCAGACGGAAAATCTTACCGAGAACAGTGTGTCGCCGTTTTACTCCAGAGGAATGCGGAATTTTGCCTAGTGTTATAGTCCCATAGGGGGAAATGGGGCCATTAATCTCTCTACTTCTGTGAATATTTTTCGTATATTGTGTATCCTGTAAATATTATTTTGTGATGTACTACCTAACATTATCCTAGCAATGTACTACCTAGCATAATTTCCCGTGTCATTTTGATACTGTATAAATATCTTTGATTACTTTGGATAGATATTTAAAAAGTATGTTTATAAACCTTCATATAGTGTTTACTTAGTGTTTGTATATTTGTCAGGTTTATGTTGTTTATTTTTTTTACTTATTTTTTTTGCCTTCGTGTTTGAGCAAATTTATAACATTATCCCTGGCTGGTCCCACACTATTATTATTATTATTATTATTATCATCATTATTATTACTATTATTATCATCATTATTATTATTATTATTACTGAAGCAACACCAGCCAGATACCTCCATGTATGAATGACTCGGAGAAAAATTCACAGGCGGTTAGTTCACTCACCAACAGCCTCATATCAGCCATCCTTCCACCTTTACTAAGCTGTGTTGATCATATCTTAGTTAGACATGTTAATATTCCTGTTAAGTCTTTCTCTATATCCTGTTATTCCTGTATGTCATTATCTATATCCTGTCACAATATATATATATATATGAATAAATTACATTTCTATTGATATGGGGAGATTCACTGACCTTATTAAGTTTGTACTGTATCATAAGCTAAAAACCGGGTTTCTAGTGATGAGGGTAGGTTAGGTTTCTAGTGATGAGGTTAATGAAGAGACAGTGAGGGAGAGAAACCAGACAGTCCATGACCACGTAAGTGTGTGTAGTCGTTACTCGTCCCTCCATCAGAGATAAGAACCAGTTTCCTGCACCTTGACCAGCAATTATAAGTCGTAGCGACGTCACGCACTCATGACCACACGTGCAGAAACGAGTACTGTATATATAAAGACATGGCTTATTTTTCACGTCACTGAAACAGCATTACGTCGCTAAACATCACCACGTCACACAAAAGAAATTTAACATCAGAAAACATCGGTAATGACGAAAGAACAAATTAGACAAGTTCACTAACACGTGTCATAACGGCAATGGGAACTAACGTTATTTCCCTTTACCTCCACCAATCCGCGTTCGTGATTCCCTTGACGTGAGAAACAGTAAAGTATTGTATTATTTGACTTTCCTTTTACACAGTATACGGTTCTTGGGATCGTCATTGTTACTTGTTGCTGTGTGTCTCTGGTTACTCCTATCTTCATTTATCTCTTCCACCTTCATCTCCTCTCTTTTCTCTCTCCTCTGCTCGGTTTGCTGCCTCGAGCTAATCAATTTTTGGTATAGGTTAGGTTAAAATTGGTTAGGTTAAGTTTGTTTTTCCTAACCTACCCTATCCAAACCTAATCTAACTTATCCTATCCTATCGTAAGCTAACTTAACCTTGCCAAAATTGTGACGTTTTCTCGTGATTTTTTTTTTGTTCAGTTTGCCAAGGACAGACAAGGAGGAAGGACCTGGATGTGGTGAATGACAGTGATTCATCATTTTAAAGGCAAAAAGGTCGACCAGATGGTGTGAGTCAGCTTCCCTTCAATCACTTACAGACAGGAAGGCTTGAGGTGGTTGTACAGGGCTCTGATTCGTCTGCATCTACTAAGTTTGGAATCCGAACGGTATGGAAGTCTTGGCACGACATGAGAAGTAGTTTAAGAGATGGGATGATGAATGTGGTACCCGAGAGGAAGTATCGGAATCGCTAAGACATTGTTTTTAGAAACATGAAGAATCCATTAATAGTGTCCCGGAATAGTGTGTGTGAGGGAGAGGGGGCGTGATCGAGACCTCGATTATGATATGTTATGACACGAACAAGCAGGTCCAGTAATGAGGAAATATAACAGAGGTCACAGGTCCCAGTTGTATAATTTACTACACACGTTCAGGACCACTTTATGTTGTATACTGTAGAGGTAACGGAACTCGTCACCCGAGAAGGTGGTCAGGATTGTAAATGTGTTGATTTTCAAGAAACGACCAAACAATATTTAGATAAATCAAAAGTAGTCCGCTGCCATTCTGTCCAATAAGCGTAACTTACACCACCATCCACCATTTCCGGACAGTTTAATCGCCACACACCGCTGGGCTGGACTACGTTCATTACAGCAGGGTGATGAGAGAAGGGTGTTGTAACGTCTTGGGCAACAAGGTGAGTGTGCTCTACTTAGCGGACATTCGCCTTAGCAGCGTAAGAATCTTGGTACGTTAAAATTGGTGAAATTAGGAAGTCAGGTCGGTGAGGAACACAAAGCAGACAGGGTCAACAGGGGGCTAGTCGGCTGTTGTGTTGCGTCTGGTGATTTATTTAGACGAGTCCGTATTAGGAGACCAAAATTATATACTGTATATTCATATATACAATGAATAAAGAGTTTTTTTACCTATGTTTTCTCATCGGTGAAATTCTAGTGATCAAAATATTTTGATATTATGTAAAACACATAAATACTGTATAATTATGTAAAGTTACAATTGGGCCCTGAATTCTGATGAATATTGCAGTTTACCTTGGGAACTGCATGCTCTATGGACTAATAGAAGTAGACTAGTGATTGGGATGAGGCCCATTTGACCAATCACCTGGCGGATAACCTGCAAGGAACAACTAACAGGAAGACATTTAGGCAGGCTGATCCTCTCACTGATTTATAAGCGTTTAGTTAATCACCGGATAATACCAAGTAGCCATAATGCATGTTAACTTAAACCTCAATATTTGGGAGAATTGGTAAAAACAACCCGAAAATATTTTGCAGTGGAGGGCCATGGTCGCCAACCCTCAGAATTGACAAGGGCACCTGGATTAATTGAATGGCCTTATACCTGCTACAATATGTATTATTTTCTTCTTCGGATATTTCAGGGATGACACGTTCGCTCACCACAACTTGGCTGCCGTTGTTTAGAAAATAAGGCACGTGATTAAATCCTGGATATAATCAATCAATCAGAGTATCGTTCTTATATCTGAGGGTTGGCGACCACAGTCCTCCACTCTAAACATTCTGGGGCTGATTTTACCAATCCTCTGAGGTTATGTATCTCTCTGGGGACCCAGTTTATAATTTCATTCATTCATCCCAGTCTCTACCTTCCCTTGGCCCTTTTACCTTCAACTTTGTCCATTAATTTAGTGTTACTATTCCCTCATCCCTAATTATATGTCCCAAGTATCTATTTTTTCTTTTCCTGTACATTTCATATATTTTTCTTGATATTTTTGGTAATCTTAGTACTTCATCTGTTTTCCTGTCAGTGTAGCTTATTCTTAGTATTCGCTTATAACACCACATTTCAAAGGCCTCCAACCTCTTTCTGGTGTCTTCTAAAAGTATCCACGCTTCTAACCCACAGCCCTGCTATATAGAGCCTTCCAGCAGTTTCTTTTTTTCTGAAATTGAAAATAATGTTCCTTTTCAGTTGGTATTTTGGATTATTAAACGCTGTTTTTGATTGCCCTCTTCTTGTTTTGATTTCTTCCATACATCTACCATCACAGCTAATGTTACTTCCCAAATACACAACATTTTCCACTAGTTGAAGTTCCCTGTTGCCAACCATTATTTTTATTTTAGTACTTATTTTCAAAATGGAAATAACCATTAATTTAGTCTTTACAGTATTAACTCTTAAGCAATATTTTTTTCCACTAATTCGTTAACGAGTTGCTGATATACTTGAGTCCTATTAAACATCTTTCAGGAAACCCTAACCTAACCTAAGCACATGAGGCGTTGGTGCTTATAATTGAGGAAGAATTCTAGATATTGTCAGTCTACCCCTGCATATAACTCCTGGACAAACTAAAGTTAAAACGCTCTACCACCCCCATTGACTTACCAATGAAACTCTTCAAGGAGTTCTCCCCGGAGCTTGTTAAACCCCTATGCTCCATCATCAATGCTTCTCTCAGTCAAGCCAGATGCCCAGCTGACTGGAAGACCTCTTATGTATCACCAGTGCCCAAGTCAACGAGCCCACAATCCTTAAATCAGCTACGATCTATTGCAATCACCCCAATACCCAGCCTAATCTGTGAAAGTTTTGTGTTCGACTGGGCTTATGCTGATATTGCAGGAGTCGTAGACCCTCAACAATTTGGCAATATGAAAACTTCCTCCACCACTCACTGTCTTGTCAGCTTTCTCGATTACATATACCGCCATCTCGAGAAAAGAAAAACGTCTATAGCTGTCGCCTTCATTGATTTCACTAAAGCATTCGACCTAGTCGACCACAATTTAATCATCAACAAAGCTATTGACCTCGGGCTTCGGAGAAGTCTTATACCATGGCTTACAGACTTCCTCAGTGACCGACGCCAAGCTGTACGCTTCCGAGGGGCTGTCTCCACCTATCAGTCACTCACCTGTGGCGTCCCCCAAGGCACCAAGATAGGACCACTCTGCTTCCTTATGCTTATCAATGACGCCCTAAGAGAAACCACTGCTCGCTGGAAATATGTCGACGACTCCACCATTGGGATCAGCGTCAACAATTCTGCTCTCGACTATACCGCCCTTCAGGATTTATTGAACAGTCGCCAAAACTGGGCCACCAACAACCACGTCACCATCAACCATACCAAGACCATGGTTATGCACATCAACCTCTCCTCCGACATTGTCCCACCCCCTTCCATTACTTTAGGCCCCAACACACTCCAGGTTGTAGATTCCACTAAGCTCCTCGGCGTCACCATACACAACAAACTAAATTGGAAACCACACGTCACTGAAGTTGTCAAATCCTCCAGTTTCCGTCTCCACCTCTTCCGCCGACTCAAGTCCCTCGGAGTTCCTGCACCCGAGCTCCTCAGTGTTTACTCAACATTCATACTTCCCAAGCTCACCTATGCCTCCCCTACCTGGTCTTCCTCCCTAAATGCCACACAACGTAAACACCTAGAAAAGGTGCAAAAGAGGGCATGCAAGATTATTCTCTCCCCTTCCTACTCCACATATCAAGAAGCGCTCACACACTGACCCTTTCGACTCTCACTGACCATCACCACGACCTCATCTGCAAATTTGGTAAGCAGCTTCTGCACCATCCTCGACACCGGCTCTTACTACCACCTGAGATCCCTAGCCCGAGAATTGCTGTTCGACACCATAACCGCATCCAGCCCATACGTGCACGAACTGATCGCTATAAGAACAGCCCAGTCCCAACCATTGTAAAAATTATCAATAACTTGTAATAAACCAGTATATTCACTCCCAGTAAATCCTACTTCTTGCACTGTCACTATGTTGAAATGCCCTGTAGTTTGAGCTTTTCCCCATCTAGTTATTATATATCTTATTTGTATCACTTATGTTGTATATTATTTGTAAATCGAAACCCATTCCCCAATTATGTAACTGTATATTTTCACCCTTCTGGCTGCTATGCTCTTTCAATAAACCGTTAATTATTATTATTATTATTATTATTATTATTAGTAGTAGTAGTAGTAGTAGTAGTAGTAGTAGTAGTAAAAAAAATATCTTTTGTAACTATAAAATCCAACATTAAAAATTAAGATAAATAAAAGACAAATTTATTAACGGAATTAATCATTACATTTATATAAAAGAAAATGGTCAAGTCAAAACTATGAATTAACCGACCAAACATGAGTGTGTGTGTGTGTATAGTATGGTAATGTATGGTTGTATCTACGGGACCAGGATAATGTTAGTTTACCCATGTATAGAATATCCTTTTATCATTAGAAAAGTTCTTTATCTTATGTAACCATAAAATACTACACTAAAAATTGATTTCAACAAAAAACAAAGCTATTAATGAAATTTATAATATATTGTATCAAAGAAAATGGTCAAGACAAAATTGAAAGTTAACCGATCAAACGTGAGTGTGTGCGTGTGTGTGTGTGTGTGTGCAGTTATATTGACAAAACTAAGTATATTATCAGTGTACCCCTACATAGAACACCCCCTTTTATCATTAGTAAAGTATATTATATAATATAACTATAAAATCCTATATTAAATATTTATTTCAACAAAAGGAACAGTTATTAATAAGATTTATTTTATTTCGCATCAAAGAAAATGGTCAAGACAACACTGTACTTTAACCGACCAGAGACCTCAAGTGTCAACAGTGAGTAGTTATGGCTTGTCAAGATGCTGTTATACGACGATCAGTAGACGACATTAAATGAGGTCAGTGTAAGATTAACGCCCGTCAATGATAATAATAACAATTATATTTATTCAGTATAATCAACATACGAGGGTATTATTGGATGTCACCCGGTATTGAATTTTTAGAATTTCATGATGACAATGAGTAGTTTAAATAATTCTAAGGCACTTGTATGATGTATCCCTAGCAAAGACTTTTAAATACCGGGGATGGGGGGACCAGGGGGATGGGGGGACCATGATGGGGGGACCAGGGGGATGGGGGGGAGCAGGGGGATGGGGGGACCAGGGGGATAGGCCCCCTGGTTAGGAGGTTTGGTTAGGGCGAGCTACAAATCCTACAATATGCTGAAATCCACTCCAGAGTTACAAAAGGAGATCTCATCTAGTGAAAAGTACAAGAATATTTATGTGCATTTGTAAGCTATCTTAAGACCTAAGTTGTAAGTCAAATAGTATTTTTCATAATATTACCCAAGCGATGTACCACTTATGTTGTTAGCCAAATATATTTATTATTATTAATATACTTATTCATGAGACGTCCTGTTTTTATCTTCAGGAAATTGGTCACCTTGTGTTTGGGTGATATTAGTACTGTAGTAAAAACTATACAACATTGTACATTTCCTCTATCTAGATTTTTATTTGAAGATCATTCACATCCATTATGGAGTCTCCAGAAAGACTGAAAATTTGGCTGAGAAACAGCAGTCATGTGAAGAAGCTGGACTTATAACATACGCAGGTATGGTGGTCCTACCTTGTAGTGCTTAATACTGTATGGTTCTGTATTACTGTATGTGCTGACTTTAAATTTGTAGTTTACTGTACGGGGTGGTGGATGTGGCTGCCAAACTTATTAAGGACAGGAGGCTTTGAAGGTGGATATGAATTTTCCTAATATAATATATGTGAACTACATTAGTCATTAGTACAGTATTTAGGCTTTTCTGTATAAAGTTCAAAAGGGTTGGCAGCCAGGTGAAAGTAGGGCTTATTTGTGCCAAGGCATCCCCCCCCAGTTCACCCATCTGTGTGTCTAACTTGATGCCGTGGGTAAATGAAGGTACAGGTAGTTGAGTGCAGGGCTGACCACAAAGTCACAATGTGGACCAAAAATTGTTTCACGATAGTGCTGTACTGTATCTGCACTATTACTAATGAGCCATGCCATCCGTGATCCAGGTAGATAAGCCCATGTCAGGCAAGTATCCCTGCACTGTTTCCTCCTTTCTAATGCTCCTAAGAGAGTTTTTTTGGGTTGCCTTCCCAAGTGTCCCATCCATATGTGCCAAAGGGTATGACACAGGGCATGAACAAATACTTCCTGTTTTGACACTTGTAGTCAAAAAGTTTTGGATATTCAGCTTGAGGATTGAATCAAAGAATGGAATCTTTCCTTCCATCAGTCTGTTCTCTACAAATGAGTGCATTGCCTTTTACTCAATATTGAAAGTAGATGTCAAGTCTCTTGCCATTATGTCTGGAACAATGACACTTATACTTTAGTTTATCAAGTACCATACATACATGGTGACGATTGTTGTTGGAGAATTACCATAAAACTTCAAAGTTTATTAACTTTCTTCAAAGTAAAGCTACAAAGTAACATCTGGATTAATTTAATCATGTAAAATCTTTCTTTAAGAAAAAAAGATGGTGTCAAAGGTTGTTGGGGTGGAACATAGGTCAGGCTATTAGTACCCCTGAAGTTGTAACTAAAATACGTAACATTGAAATTTCCACGGGATTGCCAGTTTTGTTTCACTTGGCTGGATGTGTTACCTTTCGTTTGTCCACACTTGTTGGGGTATCCTTTGCTATACTACTAAGTTGATTCATTGGTCAGCTGTATTAGGGTATAGCTGACCAATGAATCTACTGTATTAGGGTATACAAGGCATCCTATGGTGTAATGGTCAGCATGCTCGCCTCGCAGGTGAGCGGACCCGGGTACGATCCCTGGGCAGGGTGAAACTATGGGCAAGTTTCTTTATGCCATTTACCTCTTTCTACCCAGCAGTTATTGGGAACCTGGATGTTAATCAATTTGCGGATCATGTTTCGAGGTAATGGTTAGCCAGTGCAGTTGGTGGGTTGTCCGTATTCTCGTACTATTCCTTAATACTGGGTCATGCAGCGAGTTAACTAAGGGTGTGGTTGTTGTGTTGGTGACAGCTTCTACACCTTAAACAAATTCATGCCTAGGTGGCCCCAAGGCCAGCCATCCTCGATTTTGAGTGGCATCCATTATTATTTATTATAGGGTATACCTGGAGTAAAGGCTAAGTTTTGCGGAAATAATGTTTCATATTTCAAGTAGGTGTGTACAAACGTTTAAATTCAGTATTTAGTTCGATATCTTCTTCATAATTCAATTTTTGTCCTTTGTTTTATCATGTGATAAGAAAACACACATCAAGGTACATATGCTAGGGAAAGATTTCAGTGCTTTGCTTCATCATTTTAAATAGCCATAAAATTTTGCTGAACATTCTTAAGTACTTTTTATTTTTATTAATTAACTATATAAATATTTGCTTGTGGGTAATGTGCTGTGGGGCCATTGGATATTTATGATCTGTTATATATACAAGTACTGTACATATTGCTTGATTCCCAGGTTATCCAGCTCTTAGATAGAACACTGAGGGAAAACCTGGGGCAAGACCTGGCATAAACAAAGTAATTTAGAGGACCAAATCAAGACTATTGGGATGGCAGTTGTGTAAAGAGACAGGAGCCGTGATACAGATACAATACTGTATAGGACTTAAATTTAATTGTTCTTAATCTTTAGTTGTATTAAGTACTGACTCCTCTCATAATTTAATTTGTGGGTGATGGTGGTGGCTGCCAGGCGTTTAACTATTTCTACATTCGAGATGTTTTCTTTTTTTTTTTCATTCTGTTGTATCTTGCGGCCTTTCCGTACAGAAAATTAAGATTGGCTAAAGTTATTAGAGAAATACTCTTTTATTTATAGAATAAAAAAAAGACTGCCCATATAAATAGGGTTTAGGGGATACTACTAGACATATTAATCAGTAAAATTAGGCCTGAGATTACATGTGCTCAAGAGATATTGAAATAAGTGTTCAGGTGATTGATTGATTGATATCCCTGGTTCAGTCGCTAAGTTATAACTAGTAAGACCTAAATTTAGTACAATATTTGTAGAGTTAAAAGTAATTTATCTAGCCTTTTTATGTATGCAGTACAGGGTGTATGAGCTTGTAAACCACGTGGGAAAAGAAAATTACAATATTGATTAAGTGCTTTTGCCTATTAAACACATCTTCAGAAGCTGTACACAAAGATACAGAGACAACCTATACCGTAGTTCCCTCTGACTCTATCTTTGTGTAACTGGACTGTAACTGGTAGTTTATGTCTAGAGGTGCTGTGCTACTGATTATTGGCTCTATAATGTGAGGCTATATAGGCACAGGGAGTCTGGGACTTGGTATAGCTATTATTTTTTGATGTCGCAAGATAAATCGAGTATTTTCATCTCGGTCCGTTTGATCTTACTGTCAACCTGTCAACAAGATATACTGTACATCTCTCAGGATGAATGGCGCGCACCCGTTTGTGTGTATGTGTCATGGCTATACCATGTTGTAGTGAAGGATCTCGTGTGAAATAAGCAGCATCTGATATGAGTTGATCTTTGGTTTAATTTGACTAATATTAATTTCAAAAGCTATGTGAACACAGTATTAATATTTTATTGACACAGGCTATATATTTGATTAGATAATAATTATTTATAATGTCTTTTACTTGCAAATGTCCCTGATTTGAGTCATTATACCTGTACAAAAGTCACTTACAAAAACAATTCTTCTCCAAGTACTGTACTGAACTGTAGCAATGAAAACACGGTGTCACTCATGCAGTATTAGCCCAAGCGGCTAACAAGCCGATCAGTGGCGAAGAGGATAAAAGAAAACATAAAATTTTATTGGTACAAAGGATAACTAATAAATTAGTATATCAGTAGATATTTATTTTATTATCCTTGTGAACTAATGCTCCTTAAAAGATCAAGGGATGTCACATAGCCAAAGAAGATGGCACTATTGGTTGGGAAGGCACGAAGGGACATCATCCAGAATCCTCTTGTGAAAACCTGAAGGCCCTCTGCCTTGTAGCTTTTCACCAAACAGTCCCATAAATTCTGTCAAGTAGAATAATTTTCTTTACATCTTTTTAACAAACAATACCTTAAATAATGTAAAGTACTGTACCAAGTTACTTGAGAAGCTTAATAAAAAAATAATTGAGAAAAAAAGTGTAGCTACTGTACGGTGATATCTCCGTTAGCCGGAACATTTGGTTCAAAACACTTCCAGGAATGAGAGATTTCCGGGTAACGAAACGACTCTCTCAAAGCCCAAAAAATTCCCTCATCCCCGGAATTTTCTGGGTAACAGTAGATGTTCTAAGAAATTCCAGAAATTGTCCATTATATCATCTTTCAAACCAGGAAAAATCTCCCCATCCCCGTAATTTTCCAAGTACCCTGTACCAGAAAATGCGCCTGATTTTCAACTCTCAAACCCAGGAAAAACTCGCCCATCCCCGGAATTTTCCGGAAATTTACGGGTATCAGGAAAATTTTCTCAGAATTTTCCAGAAAATGTGCCCCTCAGAAAATCGTTCCCAAAGCCGGAATTTTCAGGAAAATTCCGGCTTTGGGAACAATTTTCCGAGATAATTTCAATTCCAGCTATCAGAGAGTTCCGGGTTTGAGGGATTCCAGCTAATGGAGACATTGCCATACAGTACTTAATAATTTTTGGGTCATATGGTTACTCAAACCAAAAGTATAAGTACAGTACAGGGTATTTATAATCATAAGTCGGAACACATGCTAAATGCATAACGTACAGGTACTTACAAAACAATGTTTAAGATCCCACTATATCATAGCTTAAGTCCTTATATACATCTAAAATCACTTAATTTAAGACAAAAGAAGAAATAAAATTACTTAATACAGTAAATTAAAGTAAAAAATAAGTCAGCAGGTAAATAAAATACTGTAGATTTCAAGTTTAACCTCGTTCGTATCAGCGGGCATTCGTAAGTCGGGACGTCCTGTACAGTACAGTATTCATAACTCAGTTTTTTTTTCACTTTCAGTTTTTCACAAGTTACAGCCAAAGTATTACTGGTAGTCATAGAAAAAATCTGATTGCACTATTGGTAACCTGGTAATTTTCTGCGTCTAGTGGTATATAGCATGTTGTTTCAGCCTTCGAAAATTTTTGAGCTAGTAAATAGGGAAGAATTTTGGATTTTGTTTTGCATTGTGAAAAAATCAGTTTTATAATTAATTTTGTCTTTTTTCTTGGTCTAAATATTGGCACTTGAAAAAAATAAATGAATGAGGAGTTTCTCAATGCATAAAGGGACTAAAACAAAACAAGGTGGGAACGAAAACTTATAACAAAATTTCCTATGCTATGTGAGAGGATGAAGTCAATTAATTATTATTATTATTTAAATTTTTTATTGTTTTATTATCGCAGTACTGTACTGTATTATATTAGAATACCATACAGTATTTTAGATATTTGAGGAGGGATATGGTACTGTATAGCAAATTTCAGTACAGTATATGGAAGTTTGGTAATACTGTGCTGTATAATATTATATACTGTATGCAAATTTATGGTGTATTTAGTCAGGTTATTGCTTCGTGGGCGGGGGATGGATTCAGAGTATCGGTTCATGTGAGACTTGAACTTTACCAAACTCAAAATGGCAGCCACGTGGCAAGTCGTACCAACACCTGATGGGCAGATTAGTATCACAAATAACTTCACACATGTGGATGGATGCATGTTAAACAGGTAGTAATGTTATTGATAAAAAATACATATGAAATAACAGGTTTTTACATTTGTATTTATTTCTCTTGATTTCTCTAATTTATGTTCGTATACTGTACACAGTGTATACATTATTTCTAGAGTCTCAAATGGGGGAAATCTTGGTTTTAATCTGGTACAGGTATCAGCATCCCCCTAGGGTTAACCACCAACATACAGTACAAGATGCAGGGTGATTTTTGAAGAGAGAGAGACAGACAGACAGACAGGCAGACAGACAAGGAGAGAGAGAGAGAGAGAGAGAGAGAGAGAGAGAGAGAGAGAGAGAGAGACAGACAGGAGAGAGACAGAGAGACACTCAGGGAGAGAGAGCAAATATGTTAAAAAAAAAATATATCCCATAAAACTCACACATGAGCTTATCCACTACCTTACCTTGTACTGAGGATTAATCGGGCAATCAGCCTGGATTCGAGACTTGACAACATCCAGTGGTAATATTGAAGCCCAAGATATCACCCCTAGATACAAAACAAAAGAATATACAGTATACATAAAAACAATGAAAGTGAGTTTTCTTGAATATCATCGTGACAAACGAATTCAATAGCCATGAAAATGTCTTGCGAATTTAGCACTAACCTATAACATGACATACAGAACATAATTAATTTTGGGTGAACTATGCATACCTTTTTCCCCAACCAAGATTGTTTATAACTAATTTGGGTCGAACATATTCATTATCACATCAGAAGTTATAACTAACCCTCTTATTCTGATATTAAAGTGTGGCACGATGAATCATGTCTTCCATAATGTCTAAATACCTGATAAATATCCTCTTTATTTACCAGTTTATATTGATCTGATAGGTTTCCATCTTCCTTTCCTTTTCCCTTTTCAGTTATAATATATATGGTAGTGCTTAGTATCCACAATAATGTTTGTTTTATGTCTGAGGTGTATGTCTTATGTCCAAGATATACTACATAGTACATGTCTCATGGCCAAGGTTTATACAAGTCTTATGCCCAAGGTGTATATGCTGTATGTCTGAGGTGTATTATGTCTAGAAAAATCTAGTCTGAGTGACATTGGTCTTGCATGATTCTAGGGAAAAATATAGAAACAGTATTTGGCCTTAAACTAATGACCCGCTTGGCTGTAAGGATCTCTCCCCTGTACTTTCCATTGCTTCTTGTGTTATAGTGATTACATATGCACTCTGTAGTTTGATTTTAGTAAAGAGTGATTAAATAAAATGTGAAAATAAGCTGCTCATGAACCCAAAAATTTTTTCTCAATTGTTCAAAATCTTGTGCACAATCAACACTATTATGAGGGAAAACGATGCATTACGAACACATATAAAACCGTGATATGGTTGTGTGGAGCACTATAGCTTTAGTAACAAGCCACTTTTTGCTTGTCAGGTGGCTGCAAGGCTCAAATAGATGTCAGAAGAAGGTGTCTTTTCCTCCCAGCCTCTTGTGTGAACGACTGTAAATAGAAAATGCTGCCAACCCATGAATACAGATCATTCCCATAAGTACAGTACATGGAAAAATTATTATTAATCAACAAGCAACGGTTGCAAATTAAGAAAGAATTATAAGAAACATAGCCAATGATATCTTTTAAAATGAGAGAGGATGGGACTTAACGAACTTTTATTGTATTCAAAAGAAGTTATGATGGATGCATTTTGTCTGATAGAGCTTAGAAGAGACCAGCATAAGTCATGCTATGCAGTGAAGACAGATTCAGCAAGAACATTCGTCACTACTTGTAGAGTTTGGCTTCAACTTACCTGCCATGCCACCTGCCCAAAGGATGGAAATGGTAGAAGGACAAGGATTGAAGTCAGTCATCCACGAATATACAACCATATAGAAGCCTGAAGCAATCACATCCCTAAAAATAATATAATACTTGATAAACTGTAAGAAAACAACTTAATGTGATAATCAGACCATATGAATAAACCATACCCACCCAGTGCTCAAGAAGCCTTTGACATGCAAACATTTTATTAGATGAAGAATTTCTACAGAAAAAAGGAAGAATAATTTGTGAATTTAATTTTACAATTAAGCACGGGCTAAGTGACATGCAGATCACTCGCTAAGTTTGTGGGGTTAAATATTCAGGTTAACCCGTCTATACTAGTGGCTAGAACTAATTCGTGAATTATCTCTGCTTTTCTGTTAATAACCAAATCACTAAAAAAGGGATCTTAAGCATTTCAGCCATCACTAGAGGTACAGTAGTTGGCAATGAGCTGCGATGCCTGTGCATGTAACTTGGCTTAGTCATTGGATGTCATTTCAAGCTTCAAAACCCAGTTCTTGCCAACTTTTCAGTCTCTCCTCGACTTATGACGGGGTTCCATCCCAACAACCAGGTCGTAAGTCGATTTGGTTGTAAGTCGAAAAGATGAAAATAATACATAGAAATTCTAAAATGGGTGTCTCTTTTTCTTCTCAGCACCACGAGAACTCTCACTTTTATGCTTGCCAGCCATTTTATAGGGAATTACAAGCAAAAATTTTTTTAGTACACAGCGTGATAACTAATGTCGGGACTCGAAAATACGTAATGTGAAAAATATTTTATACGACCATGGCCGTCGTATGTCCGGGTTGTCATAAGTCGAATATGGCGTAAGGTGAGGAGAGACTGTACAGTATTAAGATTTGGTTATAGAATGGGATTTTAACCCGATAACTGTGGTAGAGTAATTCGCCGATCAACCTCCAGTGCGCAAAAAAATACGTTCTCCGAACATAATTTTAACTCTTGTGGATTAAAAGATAGTACAGTATGTAGAAACCAAATATGAGTCCATTGAATACCTTAGTCTGGCTGTCAGTCTCTCATAGGGCAGAAAAAGACTCACTTCTATTGCTCACCCCAACAGTAGACTTATTTGACAATTTCACTAAAAGTAAATATAGATTTCGTTAGGTTTCTGAAATGAAGGATGGGGAAACGTACATCTCAGTGGGGGACTCAAGAATCTGGTGAGTGTAAACATCCCATACTAGACCCCACAAGATATAATTTTTTGTTTTCACACTGCTCTCAAATCACTCTGATTTCTAGAAAGTTTGCCGCAGTTATCAGGTTAAGTAACTCGCATATCTGACACCAGGAAGAACATCCCACATATTGAGTTGATCCAATGGCACTATTAGAACACATGGACACTAACCTTACAAGCTCACACAATCTACTGTACATACTTGGCATATGATGCCCATAATCCCAATGGTACAACTACCCATGTCAGCAATGTGATAATTAATATTTTGATATTTAACGTTAAGGTAACTCAAGGAAGATTCACGTTCTAACTACAGTATTATCCAAATCTTGACACAATGGGTCACTGTTCCACATAGTACTGTAATGTCACATTTGCAGTCAACTCAAGTAAAAATAATATGAATTTCAAGCCAAGTCACATGTCAATCGAGGCAAGTCTCGAGTCAGATCAAGTCAGATCACATTACATTGGAGTCCAAGCCAAGTGTCAAGTCCACAAACAAAGGCTGAGTCCCCCATCTCTGTTTTACACTAAAGTACTGTATACAGTACAGTTACTCTACATCATGACTGATATGTCTTACCTGCCATGCCACCACAAAGTATCACAGCCCCTGGACTTGCATTTCGATCTGAGCCACAAGTATTTCTCATGAATGTTTCATAGAGCATCATATATATGCCAAATGAAGGCACATCCCTGAAGGAAGAATATCATATATAAGCCAAATGAAGGCACATCCCCGAAGGAAGAGTATCATATATAAGCCAAATGAAGGCACATCCCCGAAGGAAGAGTATCATATATAGCTAAATGAAGGCACATCCCCGAAGGAAGAGTATCATATATAAGCCAAATGAAGGCACATCCCCGAAGGAAGAGTATCATATATAAGCCAAATGAAGGCACATCCCCGAAGGAAGAGTATCATATATAAGCCAAATGAAGGCACATCCCCAAAGGAAGAGTATCATATATATGCCAAATGAAGGCACATCCCTGAAGGAAGAATATCATATATAAGCCAAATGAAGGCACATCCCCGAAGGAAGAGTATCATATATAAGCCTAATGAAGGCACATCCCCGAAGGAAGAGTATCATATATAAGCCAAATGAAGGCACATCCCCAAAGGAAGAGTATCATATATAAGCCAAAAAACATCCAATTTTAGGATGTAAAATTGTAAAAGTTGTATTATATCAGATCCATATGTTCATTAAACTACCATCAATTTCCTTCACCAATTTCAGATGAACTTTTTGACAACAGTTACTTCAGTGTCTATGTTTTGACAGTCCCTGAAGATTATTGCATTTTCTTATTTGCACTCCCTACATGTCGACTTTTTACTTTCCATGTTATTCCCCCAAAGACTCTGATAGTTTCCACATGAGTGTGTGTTTGTTTCGAATAATTTTCTTGTACCCGTATACTGTACACTTATTTCATTGTCATTTGAATGGTTTATTACTTTTACTGTATTTATTATATTCTTAATTCTATTCCAACATCAACCAACCATAATTTTAGTTGAAAATATGGTTATTGAGGTTAAGAAGGTAATTATTGTTTAACATGAAATATAAGTTATTTTTATAGGTATAAATTATTATCATTATCATTATCATTATTATTCTTGGAAATCAAATTTCTCTCAGCACTTTTCTTCCATTTCCTCCATCCACTACCCATCTCCCCTAACTCTATGCAAAACCTGACCATTCTCATTTCAGCTCACTCAAGCCTTTGTATCCTCATAACTGCCCATGCTTCACTGCCATACAGCATCACACTTTCATGTGAGTTGCATACATCTTTCCTTTCATGCAAAGGGATGGTTCTCTTGCCGTCAATAATGGCAATAGTCCCTCAACTTCTTCCAGCCATTTTCTGGCACTTGCAACTGAGCAAGTTTCTGCACCACCTCCAGCACTGATCATGTCATGCAGGTTACAGAACATATTCATACAATCGAAGGATATAACCCAAAAGATGAATTCTCCAACCCTGCTAAGACAATACGGTTATATGCACATACACCACATTTAATATCAGCAATATCCTGCCGTCTGCATCTCTTGTGTACCCATCTTCCACACTCACTACACAATATTGAATTGTTGCTAACTCCTTTCTAACAGACAGTCCATGACAAATTTCCATGCCATTCCAATAATCATTACTTTTGTGTTTGCCGCATTCCACTCTTATGCCCTTTGACTCCACTCTATCCTTCTAATTCTTAAATTTTTAAAGTGTCTCTTAAATGTTATCTGTTATCAGCATTAAGTTATCAGCAACTCCCAGGGCAGATCAGTCGTAAACCTCATGATAGTGCCTCTCCCACCATGATGGAGCATCTCCCACCATGATGGAGCCTCTCCCACCATGATGGAGCCTCTCCCACCATGATGGAGCCTATCCCACCATGATGGAGCCTCTACCACCGTGATGGACAGGTAGAGGCTCGAGACAGACCCTTCATGGATCCTTACATTCACCTTAAATTCATTGTTTTCTTTGCCATAATCATTTGAACAAGACACTCCACAATCCCCAACTTCCTCATTGCTCACTGGACTATCTCACAAGGTACTCTGTAAATTGTCTTCTCTAAGTTGCAAAGACCAAGTACAGTACACCTTTCTATCCTTACCTAAATATTTCTTGTTGTTACCTGGCCATAAATATTGCCTCTGGAGTCCCCCTACCTAGCATGAACCCAAACGACATCATTTAAATCTACTCTGTGCCTTATCAATTTCTTCATCACTCTTTCCATACTTTTGTAACTTGGTCAAACAGCTCCAGGTGCCTGTAGTTCCCATGTTTAAGCATATCACCTTATCCCTTATAAGTACATATACACAATCATGCTCTTCAACCTCTTAGCTGGAGCAATGTATTCCATCATAATTGCATTAATCAATTTAAGTCTCCCTTGTTATGCCAACATTGTGTACAGTACAATATAATGCAATTACAGTATATACATATACCTCTGGGTATGGTCTGTGTTCTGCCTCTGAGCTGGATCCCACCAATTCATTTGTTAGGTCTCTTAGACTACAAAGGAAATTAATTTTGTTCCAGAACTGATCCCACAGTACAATAGTAAGTGATATCGCTGTCAGCCAGAATAATTGGTGCAGAGCGATTCCGCGTTTGAGAGATTTCCGGGCATGGGAATGAATTTTCTCCTCCCTGGATTTTTTTCAGGTACTGCACAGTACTGGGGAAATTTTTCCGAGTCTAAACTATGCATCTTGCATAGACAGACACAGAGCTGTATTTGTTTATGAAAACACCACCGTACACATACGATATATTGCAAATAAACAAAATATACTGTACTGTATACACTATACTGTACTGTATTCACTAGTAGATGCTGTTGACTTGAGCTTGTGATGCAGGCAGGCCAAATGGTCATATGATGATACAGGATGGCCTGCCTTTGTCCTGTACCATCTCCTGTCGCAGGTGTCGCTAACTGTCACTCTCCTCTCCCTCCATGAAGAAGAGAATGTACATGCACTGTGTACAGTACTGTACATACACCCTGTACACACTAGCATACACTGTGAGGTACATCAGCCAATCATAGGCAGCCCATGCAGTCACATGACAGTAGTGGTCAGTCATAACTCACAAGTACTCTGAGCCTACCCTGCATCGGAAATATGTGCAATCCTTTGAAATTTGTTCCCATGCCTGAAATAGAAAGATTTTTCCTGGAATTTCTCGGAATGCTAAAAAAAAAATTGAGCTATTGGAGTGTTCCAGGGATCAAAGATTCCAGATAACAGAGAAATTAATGTAGTCAAATGATTACCAACATGAAAATACATAAAATTACACTGTTAAATTTGTATCCATCTGATATGCACTCAATGAACATATTCCTCATGTGAAGAGAACAAATGTTAACATGGTATTTACCTGAGAAACATAGTAGTAATACCAGTATAGCAGCTACTGATACCACCATTTTTGTACAACTTTCGAAAGCATGAAATTGGTCCTTTGTAGTTTGTCTCCATAAATTTTCCCCACACTTCTTTTGAGGCGCCTGTGGAAATTTTACAAATACAGACAATAAATCTTATTACAGGTACAGTACTATATTTACCAACATCTAGCTTCCAGTATTTAGATTTTGAACAAATGGAGTTACTATAATGACTACTACAGTAAGTCCTCGCTTAACGTCGTCCCGCTTAACGTTGTTTCGGTACTACGTCGCTGAACCAAAAATTGTTTAACGTTCCGGTGATCCAATAATACGTCATTTTGCGTCGTCACGGACTACTTTTTACGGCACATCACCCGCTCTTGTCTGGCCACGCTACGCTCTCTCGGCTCAGCGCGCTGCCCTCACTCGCGGAACATCACAGTGTCCCCAAGCAACGCCAAGTCAGTCTCTGTTACGACTTCACATCATTCGTGCATGCTTAATTGTTTTTGCTCTAAAACTGTACTCCAACCATTCGAAATGGCTTCCAAGTGCCCATCAAGTGCTACTGATGCTAGTGTAGTGAAGAGGCAACGTAAGACCATTACCCTGGCTACAAAAATGGATGTATTAACTCAATTTGAAAAAGGGGAATGTGCTGTGGACATAGCCGCTGTGCTTGGTCTAACCCCCACAACGGTGCGTACTATCCTGACCAACGCTGACAAGATTAAGGTTAGTGCTGGAAGTCGTTCTTCTCTGAATGCTACTAAGACGACTCGTACTAGAAGCACTGTGATAGAGAAGGTGGAAAAGATGCTGGCAATGTGGATGGAGGGCCAGAATCAATGCAATGCCCCTGTGAGCCTTATGGTTATCCAGCATAAGGCCAGATCCCTGTTTGACGACGAAGAAGAACCTCAACGAACGCTAACTTCAAAGAGGTTGGCAGAATCGTTGAACATATTCCAGCAAGCAATGCAAATGCTTCTAGATGATGTCCCAAACAGAGAACGTAGCTCAAAGGTTCAACGCATCATTGATGACAGTCTTGGTTGCTACACCGAGATCTATAAGTAGAAGATGAGTAGCACCAAGCAGTCAACACTGGATTCATTTTTTCGTTGAGGAGGAGCAACCAGCGGCAGAGGAACCCCAGTCAGAGCAGGAGGAGGAGAAGGCAGCCGCAGAGTCTCAGTGACTCACCACCCTCCTCCTCTGCTCCCGCTATCCTCCTCCTTCGCTCCACTACCCACCACACACTCGCTCTACCACCTCTGCCCATCGGTGAGTACTAATACAAACTTAGTACGTATTGTAGTTCTATATACTATTCTCTATAGAAATAACAATGATTTTCTGTATATGTAACTTTTTCCATGGGGCAAAGGGAAGCTCAGGAACGTAACTCCTGTATTTTATCTATTTCTTATGGGGAAAATTTATCCGCTTAACATTGTTTCGCTTAACGTCGCGTTTTCAGGAAAGTAACCCCAACGTTAAGCGGGGACTTACTGTAATTTATCAGTTTATCCGAGACATTATCAACAGATAACATTTTCAACTAGTATACTTATTTACAGATCTCACAAATGACATTTACTCATTACAATATCTAGCCACTTCACTTATCAACTTACCAGCCATGTAGACGGTCAATCACTTCTTAAATTTTCTACTCTAAAAGACTGAAGCATCCAGAACATTTTTAACATGGTTCATTTAATACAAATTTCAATGCTGTATATCCAAGTGACACTGACACAACACCAAGTATAAAATATTGACAATATAATGCAGTGAGACCTCTGTTTAACAGAGTACCTGTACTGTATACTGGACTACTGTACATAAAATAATGTAGTTCATTATATCCAAGTCAATTAGATGTGAAATCTCCATATAATGGATCATACCCATTAGACTGATGTCCAATATAATGAGGTTTTACTCTGTGCAGTACAGTACTGAACTATACTCTTTCCATGCTAATCTGGCCCATAAGCCACGCCCCTCTTCTATACTAATAGCTGGTTGGTTCATAGAAAATTCAAACTAAATATCACAATTGGTAGCCAGATTTGTTATTATCTAAAATAATGTTAAATATCTGGACTAACAAAATGCAAATCATTTCAAGGCATTAGCACCTCAGAGAGGATGTTAGAAAATGTTTAATATTTATTATTAAAGGTCGATATAAATACGCCGTACGCGCTTATAAACCCACAGTCCGGTGGTAAAACGCTTATGGGAACCAATCAGCTATTTGTAGCTATACATGATGGGCAGGACTAACGGGCAAGGTTATCGTGGAAAGGTTATACAGTCAGCCCTTAACATACACGGGTTTAACAAACCTGTACACGGATTTGCAAATACGCGGATTGCCGCCGGAGGGATATACTGTACATTCAAATCGAGCGCGACACAACACACTGCACACCACACACACCACACACACACACACACACACACACACACACACACACACACACACACACACACACACACACACACACACACACATCGCCGCCACACCATCCTGCGTTATTAGTGTTATCATGATTATTTTATTTTTATTTTTGTATTTTTTATTATAAATTTTCCTTATCTGAATTATTATTATTATTATTATTATTATTATTATTATTATTATTATTATTATTATCGTCGTCGTCGTTGTTGTTGTTGTTGCGTTTTCGCCCCCCGAGCCCTGATGTGGGTCGGTGACCTGTGTCCGGGTGGGCTAATACCCGTAAAAAAAAAAAAACTTACTTACCCAATTGCAGTTGCATTTTAATTTTGACCAAATCTACTGGACATGCTACTATTAGCTGTGCAACTCCTCCAGCACAGCCAGCTATGTAGACATTAGAAGTTGATGGCTTGTCCTTATCTCCAGATAACCATCTAATGCTGTTGCCATAGACACCAAAGAAGAGAGAATTAAGGGTACCCGCTGCTAACAACGGAAAGCTCAAACCCTTATAATATCCTCGTATCTGAAAAAAAAAAATGCATCAATAATGATGTTCGTCTTAGCAAACGTACCATAACTAAAGCAACAAGAATAACAAAAAATTTCCTCCATTATTCAGAAGTTATTTTACATATGAATACTGTACGTACCTATATTGTATAGGTATTCACTGAATTATGTCCTGCCCAACAATGTTAATTTGATATATACAGTAACGTCTTTTAATAAGTCGGGAATTTTTTTTTATATTAAGTCGTTGAATTCTGATACCTGTATAGTATTGTTTTAAAGGTCAGGATACTGATACTTTATATGAAAGGGTAACATCTTTTTTGTGGAGTTCACTTAAGTAAGCTGTACTCAAAGAACAAATCAGACTTGTCCTGCAATATGGAATTCAGTGGTAAATTAAAACTTGCTGATTTCCTCACTCATATCAAACCCATAACTCCTACACAAAAAACACTTGTGTCTAGAGTGTGTTGACCCTGTTAAGACTTATTCTAGTAATGTCTTCCACATATGCCTTCACTGAGAGAAGTTTTAGCTCTTTAAGAAGACTAAAAACATATTTTCAATTTATTATTACCCAGCAGACTGAACCAATGCTCCCAAGTGTTCATAAAGAAAGGCTTAACAGCATTAGCTTAGTAAAGGTGGCCAGGTTAATGAGTTTGTGTCAGGCCATGAAAGCAGACTTGCCCGATTTGGGAAATTCACCACACATGATCTTGCAGCTGCTACAAATACTGTAAACAAATAATTTAATAATTCAATGCAAACAAAATCTGTTAACTATTTTCTTTTACCAAATGTTAGTCATGAGTATGCCTACATGATGTCTCTTGTCTATGTATGGTGTGTACAGTTACTAAAACAGTATTATATATAATTTAAATATGAAACTTTGAATCAATCCCCATAAAATAATTTGAAAACAGCTATGGCTTAATGGCTCCTTTTCAGCACCTGTAATATTAGTGCTTTTTTGCTAATTTTTTAAAAAGAATAGTGTGCGGTATAAGATGTTTGTGAAATACAGTAGATAGCAAAACAGTACAGTATAGATATATTTTTATTCATTGTACTGGTACAGTATATACTTTTATTCTCTATGCTTTTACATTTTATTTGTGAAGTACTGAGAGGTAAAACTTTATAAGTGAAGTGCACTCAAGAGTTGGGTGTGATTTGGAGAGTTCTGTTGATCTTATCTCTGCCTTCCTGCATCCAGTTATTTTCTCAAAAAATAATGTTGTTAACCTTGACTGAAAATCTGTAATTTCTTTTTAATTTAGAAATTCTATCCTAACAATGGCTTCCACAAATAAACCTAGTGATTATGATACTTACAACAGTGTAAAGAGGAATATTACAAAACTAGACAAGGTTATCTCAGCACACAAACATGCTGACGAACTTGGTGCTGAATACAACAAAAATTTATGAAAATCAAGATGCAGTATAATAAAGCACATAAGAACATGACCAGGCATAAATCACTACACGTGCCATGGTCTGAAGGGCTTGACGCAGTAGTGTATGAGAGGTTTATGTACGTAAAGGAAAAGTGAAGGGGTGCTTATTTTTAGTGAAGTACATTACATTTGGGTGTGAAAAACCCAGGTAGTGTTACCAGAATTTGAAAATACTGTAAACACATATTGGTGATGTAGTTGTCAACAAGCACATATTGTACTTGTACAGATAACCTCATAAAGAAAAACAACAAGAAAAAGACAACATAACGACGCTCAACTCTCGCCACCTCCTTGTCGTGGGGGACTTCAACTTTGGCAACATCGACTGGAGGAATGAAATTACACTAAATAACTTAAATAGTCCAGCTACTCTTTTATGTAGAAACTCTGAAAGATAATTTTCTATTCCAACATTTAAAAGCTCAGACTCACTACAGAGAGGAACAAACACCCAAACCTCTTGACCTCATCATAACTAAGGAAGAAGATATGGTGGCCAAGTTGGAACACCTAGCTCCAGTCAGCACCAGCCATCATGTAACATTGTCCTATATATTTAACTGTAACTTGGTTCATGATAAGAGCAGCCCAAGGTTAAAATATTACACTGCATTATGACAGGATGAGGGAGGATATAAGGGGTATTCACTAGCCTAACTCAATGGTAATGATGAGCAGGACAGGAGGATATATACCAGGACCAGGAACCAAGCAAAGTCAGAGGCGGATTGCAAGTAAAGTCAAGTGAATCCCAAAGGCTTTCTACCATTATGCAAGGTCGAAGTTAAAGACACCTGGGAAAGTGATTGTGGTTAGGTGTAGTACTGGCCATGCTGCCTCCTTGTGTACAGAAGGCTTAGTACAATAAGTCCTCGCTTAACGTCAGGGTTACGTTCCTGAAAACGCCACGTTAAGCGAAACAACGTTAAGAGGATTAATTTTCCCCATAAGAAATAGATAAAATACGGGAGTTACGTTCCTGAGCCTCCCTTTGCTCCATGAAAAAAGTTACATATACAGAAAATTATTGCCATTTCTATAGAGAATAGTATATAGAACTACAATACTAAGTTTGTATTGGTACTCACCGATGGGCGGAGGTGGTAGAGCGAGTGTGTGGTGGGTAGTGGAGCGAAGGAGGAGGATAGCGGGAGCGGAGGAGGAGGGTGGTGAGTCACTGAGACTCTGCGGCTGCCTCCTCCTCCACCTGCTCTGACTGGTGTTCCTCCACCGCTGGTTGCTCCTCCTCTGTTGTTTTTGCTCCTCCTCAGCTGCCGGCTGCTGTGAAGAAGCTCCTGCAGTCCCGCAACGAAAAAATTAATCCAGTGGTGAGCACTTCTGTGTGGGATGCCAGGACGTCCTCAATATCCTCTGATTCCAGTTCCTCAAAGCCTACCTGTCTAGCCAAGCTGAGGATATCCCTATTCACAGCTGGGACTAAGTCCGTGAATCCCGTATAGCTGTTGTCACACTCGGGCCACAGTTTACGGCATACACCAATCAAGCAACTTTCTGAAACCTCTTCCCATGCCTTGCCAATGTTGTCAATTGCATGAAGAATGTTGAAGCGGTGCTAATATTCTCGGATCGTTGGTTTATTTTCTGCATCTGTAGCCTTGAGCAGCTGAGCCAGGGTATTGCGCAAATAATACGCCTTGAATGTAGCTATGACGCCTTGGTCCATAGGCTGCATCAGTGCTGTCATGTTGGGAGGCAGGAATACAACTTTTACACTGTCATGCAAGTCGTCGAGATTGGGAGGATGAGCTGAAGCAATGTCAAGGATCAGAAGAATTTCGAAGTTAAGGTTCTCCTTGGCACAGTATTCCTTCAGTGCAGGGACGGCATACACATTTAACCACTGGCTAAATATGGTGCCGGTTATCCATGCCATTTTGTTTGCCTTGTAAATGACAGGAAGGTGATCCTGAGAGTAACCTTTCAGGGCCCGTGGGTTGGCAGCGCGAGAAATCAGCATAGGCTTCAGCTTGAAGTCACCGGCAGCGTTCGCGCCAAGCAGCAGCGTCAAGCGGTCTTTTGCTGTTTTAAATTCTGGCGCTCTTTTATCCTCCTTGGAGATATAGGTCCTCTCAGGCATCCTCTTCCAAAAGAGACCAGTCTCATCCACATTGAAGACTTGCTTCGGTGAGTAGCCTCCTTGCTGGATAATCCGTTTGAATTCTGGTGGGAATGTCTCGGCAGCTTCCGTATCTGAACTGGCAGCTTCACCAGTCATCTTAATATTGTGGAAGTTATAACTACGCTTAAATTGTTGAAACCATCCTTGGCTGGCCGTAAAGGTCTCTTCCTTCGATCCTTCACCTGCTTCTGTCTTTAAGTCATCAAACAGGGATCTGGCCTTATGCTGGATAACCATAAGGCTCACAGGGGCATTGCATTGATTCTGGTCCTCCATCCACATTGCCAGCATCTTTTCCACCTTCTCTATCACAGTGCTTCTAGCACGAGTCGTCTTAGTAGCACTCAGAGAAGAACGACTTCCAGCACTAACCTTAATCTTGTCAGCGTTGGTCAGGATAGTACGCACCGTTGTGGAGGTTAGACCAAGCACAGCGGCTATGTCCACAGCACATTCCCCTTTTTCAAATCAGGTTAATACATCCATTTTCGTAGCCAGGGTAATGGTCTTACGTTGCCTCTTCACTACACTAGCATCAGTAGCACATGATAGGCATTTGGAAGTCATTTCGAATGGTTGGAGTACAGTTTTAGAGCAAAACCACTTAAGCACGCACGAATGATGTGAAGTCGTAATAGAGACTGACTTGGCGTTCCTTGGGGACACTGTGACATTCCGTGAGTGAAGGCAACGCGCCGAGCCGAGAGAGCATAGCGTGGCCAGACAAGAGCGGGTGATGTGCCGTAAAAAGTAGTCCGTGACAACGCAAAAGACGCAGTATCAGATCACCGGGAGGTTAAACGAATTTTTGGTTTCTAAAGTTCAGCGACGTAGTACCGAAACAACGTTAAGCGGGACGACGTTAAGTGAAGACTTATTGTACTGTATACATATACTGTATCCACACTGTCCCTAAAAAGCAGTCATGCTTATGGGACCCACTTTCACTTTTTTTTAACTACTGTATATATAACTACCATTACACAGCAATTTCTTATCTAAATCCACAATCTGGCCTCTTCACCACTTAAGCCTTGATAAATTGATTACCCAAAGATAAAATCAATAAGGTTTCCATTTACTCTCATAATGTATTTAAAAAATCCTGTTATTATTCACCGTAGAATAAAAAGTGGGGGCAGACCTCGTGATAGCGTGTGTGTTGGTCAGCCAGGGTGAGACTTATCTGATATGTTAACTCTTCTTTTCCCTTCTTCTTCTTACTGTTTCTTCTTCTTCCTCTTCCTCTTCACACTGTCTCTTCTTACTGTTGCTTCTTCTTTCTTCTTCTCCTCCTCACTGTTTCTTCTTCTTCACACTGTTCCTTCTTATTTACACCGTTTCCTCTTCTTTATACTATTCTTCTTCTTTCTATCACTCTTTTTGCTCGGTAGTACAGTGTCCTTTTTTTCTGGCTTGGGAACTTAACCCAACCTTACCACCATTTATAATGTCTAATTATTGAGTTCTGACTTCTGTACAAATGAGACATGGAACACAGTCCGTTTATAGCTTAAGTGACGTATATATCGGTACAGTACAGTATGCGTGTGTGTGTGTGTGTGTAATGAAACTCACAAACAAAATAATAAAATGTACTTACTCCCTCATATTTGAAGATGTTTATGATGGAAGTCTTTGAGGACACTTTAGTCAGTGCTTGTTGTCGTACTTTGATAGTGTCCATTGGCTGTCCAACTAACAGTCCAGCACACCCTGGTATGAGTATGGTAAATAAAAGCATTTTAATTCTAGTCTATGTATGTGGGTGATTTGGAGAGAGAGAGAGAGAGACCAGTCATTAAGGGGAGAAGGTAAATATTTTTCACTTGGCTTTTAATTGTAAGTACAGTACTGTAGAGTTTTCCACACGTTGAGTTCGTAATTAAGGGTTTGGCTTTAGGGGCTACAGATACACACTCCCACCGCCAATATTAACAAGTACTGTACAGGGGCGGATCCAGGAATATCAAAAGGGGGGTCCAAGAAGTTGTGGGTGGGGGAACATGGCGAGGGCAGCTAGCCCACCCAGGGCGCTGTAAGGCCTCCCCCCATTTTTTTTAAATCTGGCCAATATCATGGGCATTTTGAGGCCATTTTGAAACCATGCACACTTGATATTAGGAGACATTCTGAAGTCAACAGTAAATACTTTTTACGATACAAAAATGCTTGAGTACAATACTGCATTAAAGAAAAGGTATTGGAATTTTCTGGTGAAAAGGGGGAAGGGGGGGGGGGGTTCCGGACCCCCCAGGATCTGCCCTTGCTGTACTACTCCCATTACCCCTTTAAGGCAAGTAGAAATTAATATTTTATCTTTTATCTTTCGTTTTACACTTTTAATCCTGAGCAATACTTACCCCCAATCCATCCAGCGACAAAATCACACCAGTAATCCTCGTCCATCTTGAGTTTGTGTCCGTATCCACACCACACGTATAATATGTATCTGTAAATATTTTGATTAGATGTATATAATTTATAATACAAGAAAGGTTTATTTATCCAACTTAATATGCTAACTTGCCAAGTGCTCTACCATGTAAGGTATTATTTGAAAATAATAAGTAATATCTTGTACAAATTTCAGACAAAACGGTACATCGTATAAAGCCTTATACATGTGACCTGTTGTATAACGTTTCAGCCGTGAGTGATAATTTGGTATATAGCGTTAGACACGTCGACTAACATCTTATAAAAGACTTCAGAAACATTTAACCTCTCGCACCGATGCAGACCTGGTAAAGACATCTCATTCGGATTTTCTGGCATCAGTGACATAATATATTACTCAGGCCTGTAGTACCCTAATGTAGGGCCAGTAACACATTCTAAGCATATTTTGTTTTGGCCTACGTATTTATATCTTTGCTTAATAAATACTGCGTTGTAACTGCACAAGTGGTTCCCCGTCTGGTCCCCGAGATGTGCTAGAGACTGTCAGTTGATTGAAAATGTCCAAAGGGCAAGGGGGGACCTAAATGAGGTGTATAAATATCTCAAGGGGCACTACTCAGTCGAGTGTTCATACCTATTATTATTATTTATTTATTTTTATTTATTGGGCACCCCCCTACATCCTTGTGTAAGGTGAAGCGCAGAAGCGTTTACAGCGCCCAACAGGGAAGCATGCTAGGTTCATGCTTGCCTTTATGCCTCATGAGTTAAGGGCGTAGAAGCCTGAAGAGTCAAGGGAGTAGAAGCCTGAGGAGTCAAGGGCGCAGAAGTCCATACTTGGAGCTGGCGGACGCTCGCCCCATAAGGAGTCACAGCTCAAGGTTGAAGAAGCCACAAGTCCAGAAAACTGTGAGGGCAAACTATTCCGGAGCAAGTTGTGAACTCTTGGAACAACCTGCTGTGACGGCACCGATTGTGAGCTCTTGCAAAACCAGAGTTGACCACCACTGATGCAGGTATAGATCCATTTAGGAGCCACTTCATGCCCAGTACTTGCCAACAGTATGTATCAGAGACGTGACTGACCACTCAAGTGACTATCAAGTCAATCAGTGACGAGGAGGATAAACGTAAAAGTAAGATAACTCCTTAACCGTCTCCCACCCCTCAACCCGCCACCCCCTCACACACCGCCCCCGTCATCCCCGGGCCCCGTCATCCCCGGGCCCCGTCATCCCTGGGCCCCGTCATCACTGGCCTCCCTCACCTTATCACCAACAAATGAACGATATGCTAGACTGGCAAAGATGAAAGACAGAAAAACCCTCACCTGCTTATACACAAACCCTGACACTGATCACTAAGATACCAAACTCCATCCCTGCAATGGCCAGACTGTAATAAACCCGAAGATTATATTTATTACCGAAGGTCGGCCTAAGCATGTGAGATTCCCCGCAACAGATGTCAAGATCACTTTACCGATAAGGTGAGTGACTATACGACTCTGAAGTCCTTGGATAACAGATGGGCATCTTGATCCTGGACAGCACTGACCAGGTTACCTATACATATGCAAGCTCGATTACACTCATGGAGTACAATTCATCATATGTAAGACATACTATATGACACGTGGCACTAATAAGACAGCCGTTATTACCATTTTAGGGATGGTAAGCTATCTGATGGGAGCGGCCCTAGCCTTTAGTAATAAAAGTCTTGGGTTTCCCTCATTAGTAACAAACAGCAGAACCATATTCCCCGCTCAAAAATTTCCTTCGACGTGTTAAACAAGTGAGTGAAGCTCCAATGTCTCCCATTGGACGTTTACGGTATAAATACTGAAAGTGTATGCCTCGTGGTCTAGGTCAACCAGCGTCCCCATACACCACGGAGCGGGGGTCAACTACTAAGCCACGCCAACCCCCGCTATTTAAGACCTGACCTCGTGGTGATCTCTCTCTTTCTACCTACAGCCGCAGCCAGCAACACCTCCTCCTCCGCCGCTGCCTGGCGGCCCTCGCTCCTCCTCCACCTGCCTGGCGGTCCTCTCTCCCGCCGGCGAGCATGGCGACCCACAAGCTGTCCTTCTCTGAGCGTCCTCACCAACCAGCTCTCTCTACATCACGCTTGTAACCATGCTGCCTTCCCAGCACCAAGCTGCACTGTACATCCAATACAACATGTATACAGAGAGCACATTGTGAGTTTCCTTTCTCCATCCCATCCTGAGTGAACACTAAACAATCTCATACCCCACAATACTTATGAACATCTTGAACAAAGTTTCGGACAAAAAAAGCAACCCCCTCTATCTGCCGCACACTATTTCGTACACACACAGCAGCCAGGTCAACTGTTAAGTTGGCCCATACCAACTCCCTCCCCTGAACCCTCCTCCCCACCGGAATATCAACAGGTTCTCACCAGAAGTTACAATTTCATTTAGGAAAGGAATGGAACCAGTTTTAAACAGAGGTGAACAGTGGTGAACAGTGCTTGAGTCAGTGAGAACAACTCAACAGAAACAGTCGCACCCAAGTTAACCTTCACACAGTGAGGTCCCAGGTACCCAGTGATAACGGCCCGACCCAACAACAACCAGCGATGTGTTAATCCGTCTACGATAGGAAGGCCTGGGACCACACCTCACTCGTATAACACCATCTGTGAGGGAATTACTACACCACGTCAGGCCCCTCATAACACCATATGTGAGGGAATTACTACACCACGTCAAGTCCCTCATATCACCACCTGTGAGGGAATCACTACACCACGTGAGGCCCCTCATAACACCATCTGTGAGGGAATTACTACACCACGTGAGGCCCCTCATAACACCATCTGTGAGGGAGTTACTACACCACGTGAGGCCCCTCATAACACCATCTGTGAGGTAATTACTACACCACGTGAGGTCCCTCATAACACCATCTGTGAGGGAATTACTACACCACGTGGTCCCTCATAACACCATCTGTGAGGGAATTACTACACCACGGGTCCCTCATAACACCATCTTACTACACCACGTGAGGCCCCTCATAACACCATCTGTGAGGGAATTACTACACCACGTGGTCCCTCATAACACCATCTGTGAGGTACTACATCAGAGGCTCCTCATAACACCATCTGCGAGGGAATTACTACACCACAGGTCCCTCATAACACCATCTGAGGAACTACTACACCACGTGAGGCCCCTCATAACACCATCTGTGAGGGAATTACTACACCACGTGAGGCCCCTCATAACACCATCTGTGAGGGAATTACTACACCACGTGAGGTCCCTCATAACACCATCTGTGAGGGAATTACTACACCACGTGGTCCCTCATAACACCATCTGTGAGGGAATTACTACACCACGTGGCCCCTCATAACACCATCTGTGAGGGAATTACTACACCACGTGAGGCCCTCATAACACCATCTGTGAGGGAATTACTACACCACGTGGTCCCTCATAACACCATCTGTGAGGGAATTACTACACCACGTGGTCCCTCATAACACCATCTGTGAGGTAATTACTACATCACGTGAGGCTCCTCATAACACCATCTGCGAGGGAATTACTACACCACGTGAGGCCCCTCATAACACCATCTGTGAGGGAATTACTACACCACGTGAGGTCACTCATCACATCATCTGTGAGGGAATTACTACACCACGCCAGGTCCCTCATAACACCATCTGAGGGAACTACTACACCACGTGAGGTCCCTCCTAACACCATCTGGGAGGGAGTTACTACACTGCGAGTTTGCTGTTCAACACCTACATTAATCTGTATGTTCACTGTATGTTCCTTCACCTTTCTCTAATGAAGGCTTTTGTTAAACCACCAATGTATGTAATAAGTCATTTATGTCCAATGTATATTTTCAGCCTTCGGTCTGCAGAACTTTTTCAATAAACCGTTAATTATTATTATTATTATTTTATTATTCACTCACGTAAGTTGCCGCGGTGCTCAGTCGACTGGGACTGACTGGGGTAAGCTGGTTGCTGGCTACCTACGCAGTCAGGTGGCGCGACAATAGTATTTGGAGGGACTTTCGATGGCGTACAGTAGGAACTGTTGCAGTGAATATTTTTATTTTTTCTTATAATGTAATGTCTAACTTTCCATACGTTATTTTCATTTACTATAAATATGATTGGTTGCAAACGTTGCATAATCTGAAATAATCATAACAATTATACATAATATAGAACGTGGCAACTTTTCAGCCCAAGGCACCCGAAAGTTACCAAAGTTTACCTTATTGTGTTGTATTTTGTTCTCTTCGCCACTGATCAGATTGTTTAGTTTCTTGATAGTTTTACCCAGAAAGAAACTACGTGTCTCCCACAACAACAAAGCATACTCCCTGAGTCTAGTGTTAATACAACGGGGACAAATGTTACCATGAATCTATTAACCTTTACTTGCATTTTTACTATACTTTTACATCTTCGCCACTGGTCGGCTCGTTAGCCGCTTGGGCCACATTTTGATTATACACTGTGGCAACTACTGGGCATGAACTGGCTCCTGAATGTATCTGAACTTGCTCCAGTGTTGGTCAAGACTGGTCTTGAAACAGCTCATACTCGGTGCCGTCACAACACTGTCTGGCAGATTGTTCCAAGAGTTCACAACTCTCACTCCGAAAAAGTTTGCCTTGACTTCCGAACTTGGGGCTGCGACCTCTATTGGGGCGGGCGCAACATAGAAACAATATTGGTGCCACAGAAAGATCCAAAGTACATTAATGTGCATTAATTGAGATAGAATGTGAAAAGGACCTGGGTGTGTATGTTGACAATGAACTGAAGTTCTCGGGCCACTGTGAGAAGAAGGTGAATCAGGCAACTAAATTATTAGGTCTTATAAGAAGATCGTTCAGATATTTAGACGGTCCACCGTCCCTCGCGACGATTTTCAAGAGTGAGGTGCTTCCCCGCCTGGAGTACTGTCACCCCGTCTGGTCCCCGAGGTATGCTAGAGACTGTCAGTTGATTGAAAATGTCCAAAGGAGGGCCACCAGACTGGTGCCTGCACTTCAGCACATCAGCTACCCAGAGAGATTAGAGCGCCTGCAATTGCTTAGCTTATACTACAGACGGGCAAGGGGGTACCTAATTGAGGTGTATAAACATCTCAAAGGGCGCTACTCAGTCGAGTGCCCTTACCTGGAGCTGGCGGACCCTCGCCCCACAAGGGGTCACAGCTCAAGGTTGAAGAAGCCGCAAGTCCAGGAAACTGTGAGGGGTAACTTTTTTTCGGAGTGAGCATTGTGAACTCTTGGAACAATCTGTCAGAGAGTGTTGTGACGGCACCGAGTGTGAGCTGTTTCAAGACCAGACTTGACAAGCGCTAGAGCAGATTCAGAAACATTCAGGAGCCGGTGCATGCCCATTACTTGCCAACAGTGCGTGACAGAGACGTGACCGATCGCCCGGGCGGCTAACAAGCCGATTAGTGGCGAAAAGGATAAAAGTAAAAGTAAAAGTGATAGCACATACGATACCAACAACCTGTCGAGGAGGACTGGGATAAAGAGAAGATAAAAAAAGAAAAAATAACCCCGATAGCATCACTGGACGAACACAAATACCAGCACTACATATAAGTGACTTTAAGTGCTATTATCCTGCCACTAGGACACAAACGCACACATATTTTAATACACTGTAACTACATCTAGTCGGAGGTGTGATTATAAAGGAAGTCATCCCAGTAATGGGGTAATTTCTTCCTCAAAATAAAGTAAGACGTTAGAGAGGCTGGCACCCCTTCCTCCCAGCCACCTACACACTGGCACTGAGGCTTATAGGTCCGGGGGGATTTGCTGTGTCGTGGGCTTAACAGGTTCCTGATGCTAAGTCCGGTCATCAAGACAATCATAAAAATATGGTAAAATTATATCATACCATAAATTGTGCTTAAGGCTAAGAAAATTCCAATAGATGTTAAAGTCTCGGCATTAAGTCTGATAAACGTAAAAGAACGAGAAAAAAGTTTATGAGAAGACATGCATAGGTGGAGTGAATCAGGAGGGCAAAACCTCAGCGTCACCAGGGAGTTTGCTGTTATGCACTTACTGTGAGGAGACATCTTGTGTAGTTGCGTGGGTCTGAGCATAACGGCGTTTAGGATGCTGCAGAAAGCTCTAAAAGTATGGACGCTGTTGCTGGTAAAGTGGTACAGTATTGCCCTGACTGTATAATCAACTTATTTACAAAATCATTAGACACTGGAGTTGTGCCAGAGTTGTGGAAACAGGCGAATGTAGTACCCATATTCAAAAAGGGAGACAGAGCATCAGCGTCAAATTACCGGCCGATCAGTTTGACGTCAGTAGTGGGGAAATTTCTTGAATCAATTATAGCACATAGCATCCGATCGCATCTAGAGAAAAGCAAATTAATCTACGACTCTCAACATGGGTTTACAAAGGGAAAATCTTGTGCTAACGTTTTTTAGGAAATTCTTCGAGGTGGTAGATAATGACGAAAATTACGATGTTATTTACTTAGACTTTAGCAAAGCATTTGACAGAGTACCGCATCAGAGGCTTCTGAGAAAAATTAAGGCTCATGGTATCGAGGGGAAAGTTTTAAATTGGATAAAATCATGGCTCACCGATAGAACGCAGAGGGTCAGCGTAGATGGTGTTAAATCTGAGTGGGGCCGTGTAACCAGTGGGGTTCCCCAGGGGTCAGTACTAGGCCCACTCTTGTTCATAATCTACATAAACGATTTAGATACTGGGATCAGCAGTGACATAAGCAAGTTTGCGGATGACACCAAAATAGGGCGGCAAATTAATTCAGGGCAGGATGCAAATGCATTACAGGAGGATCTAAATAAACTGCAGGGGTGGTCTGAAAAATGGCAAATGAAATTCAACGCCAGCAAGTGCAGCGTACTTAATATTGGAAGAACAAATACTTATAATGTATACAGCCTTAACAACATCAACCTAGAGAAGTCGACTTGTGAAAGAGACCTAGGGGTACTTGTAAGCCCGGACCTACGGCCTAGAAAACAGTGCGTTAATGTTCGAAATAAGGCAAACAGAGTATTGGGTTTTATATCTAGAAGTGTAAGTAACAAGAGTGCAGAGGTCTTATTGCAACTATATCTTGCGCTAGTTCAGGCCGCACCTCGATTATGCGGTTCAGTTCTGGTGCCCCTATTATAGAATGGATATAAATTCACTAGAGTCGGTGCAGCGAAGAATGACAAAAATGATTCCGGGACTTAGAAACCTTCCATATCAGGATAGGTTAAAGAAACTTAACTTGCATTCCCTAGAAAGACGAAGAGTGCGGGGAGATATGATAGAAGTATTTAAGTGGGTGAAAGGAATCAATAAAGGGGATATAGATAAAGTTCTTATAATATCCGAGCAGGATAGGACTCGGAGCAACGGATTCAAGTTGGATAAGTTTAGGTTTAGGAGGAGATAGGAAGAAACTGGTTCACAAATAGGATGGTGGACGAGTGGAACAAGCTTAGCAACTTTGTAGTAAGTGCGGGAACTCTGGAAAGTTTCAAAAGGAGGCTAGATAGATTCATGGATGATAGGGAGTGGTAGTAACTCTCGACAGGAGCTGCCATGCACAGGCCAACCGGCCTATTGCAGACTCCTTATTTTCTTATGTTCTTATGTTCAAAGTAAACGAGGCTATTTCAAATCATAAGAGAAATAGAGAAAGCATTTCGTAGCATATTCATAAACCCAGATCGTACGGTAATGCAGAGAACAGCACAAAGAACTCCTAGGGTGTTTGAAGCAGAAGAGGGAGGATTCGCTGAAAAACAGGGACAGCCTTAATTGACAACGCAACGACGCTCATCCCTAACCACCTCCTTGTCTTGAGGGACTTTAACTATGGCGACATCGACTGGAGAAATGAAGCCACATCAAATGACCTTAATTATTCCTTTACTCTTTTTTGGAGAAACCTTGAGAGACAAGTTATTAGGTAAATTAAGAGCCAAACAGACTGTGAAGAGCTACAAAAATATCTCTGTGAGCTTCAAGAATGGTCAAAGAAATGGCTGCTAAGTTTCAATGTCACAAAGTGTAAGAGGTTGCACCTGGGTCATACCAACGGTAACGAGGCATACCACATGTACCAGCAGGATGAAGAAACTGCATTAATAGAGGCCGAATGTGAAAAGGACCTTGGAGTGTCTGTTGACAAAGAACAGAAATTATCGGGCCATTGTGAGAAGATGAATCAAGAAACTAATAGGTCTTATACGAAGGTCGTTCAGGTTTGGTAACGCTCTTCAAAGGTGAAGTGCTTCCCCGTTTGGAATACTGTCACCCCGTCTGGTCCCCGAGATATGCTAGAGACTGTCAGTTGATAGAAAATTCCAAATGAGGGCCACCAGATAGTTGCCTGCACTACGGCACCTCAGATACCCAGAAAGATTAGAACGCCTGCAACTGCCTTGCTTATACTATAGGCAGGCAAATGGTGTCCTAATTAACGTTTGTAGCGTAGTGTATGTGGCGCAGTTGCCTAAGTTCTCTTTGTTATGGCCACATACACACGTACAATAAGGGAGATCTTGCACTCAGGATGGCGGTGAGACAGGAAACTCAGAATAGCTTAACTCTACATGTATTGTGTGTGCAATACCGTGCTAGGGAGTTGCTGTGTAGTGAGGAGCTAGTTGAGAGGAGGTCCTGTCCGTTTGAGATCGTTGAGCAGAATGACCTTCTTGACTTGACTTGACGTCTGTAGAAAAAAAAAGGTAGAGGGCTATTGCTTGTAATGCTGGGTGGGAGGGCAGGGATTAGGATTGGAAGTACTTTGGTGGTAATTGGTGGGGGAGAGGATTGGTTTAGGGTCAAAGTAAAAGAGGGAGGAAATTTGAAGGAAAGTAAGAGATTGACAGTATCCGGGCTCAACCAGATATGCTGAGGTTATAACAATTATATTTGAACTTATATCTTGCGTGATTAGGTTCTAGCTCTCAAGCCTTTTTCATTTAGTTAAAAATATTTATATTTTTGAGGTAGCCATTGTTCCAAGGAAGGGGTGACGACCTCTAGCCAGGTTCTTGTGGAGCTGGCTGAGCAACGTATCTTTTGTTTTAATAAGAGTGGAAGGAAGGGGCAAGAAGACAAGTGTTGGAGAGGCCAAGGATAGTGTCCTTTGGTCACTCTCATCTTTTTAATGAAACATTTTTCTGTTTTAGAGAACTGAAGCTTTTTATTTATAGTAGGGAGGTTTAATTTCTAAGAAGAGGTGTAGGCTCCAACTTGTTACTTTTGTTCACAAGGAGGTGGTCCTATCTTTTGGTTTAATTGAAAGATTGAAGCTTGACTTGAAGGTACAGTATTTATTGGCTATACAGTTCTTTTTGTTTTTGTATTAAATTTGAGAATTTTTAGATGTATGTTGGTATTGGTGGTGGATTGTTGACTCTTTTCCTGCTTAATCTGAACCAAGCGTGTTCTTCTCTTGCTCTTCTAACTGGTTCGTTGTCGAGCCAGTTAACTTCAGTTTCTGAGTCTAACTCTCGAACTTGTTCCCATGTTCTTTTGGCTTGGATGTAGATGTCTATGTTTACTGCGTTGATGTTGGCTCTTCTATGGAGTTCTTTGTTTGTTACTCTTTCTTCGTAACTGGTGTTATATACGAATCTTAGGCTTTTATTTTGTACCGTTTGAAGTTTCTTGATTCTCGTTGCACTGAATGAGTTGGTTGGTACAGGCGGGTAGCACATTACTGATTTTATTAGTGCCGTGTATAATTTCCTTTTGTTTGGTATGTTCAGTTTTTTTAATCTAATTATTTTTGAGAGTTTGCTACGTAGTTTGTGGACTTTTTCGTTGATGAAGTTCTGGTAACCGTTTTTTTTTTTGTGATTTTCAGTCCCAGGATGCCGCCTTCGTTGGTGTATGGGTAAATTTCTCCATCTACTATTACTGGTTCGACCTTTTTCTTGGCATTTGGTGTGATTTTAAATTTATTTTTGTAGTCATTTATGTTTTTTATTGCTAAGGCCGCATGGCTTCTGATTTCCCGGGATATGATATGATTTGTGTGATGTCATCGGAAAAGATAATGTGTTCGCTATGTTGCGTTGGTTCAGGTAAGTTGCTCGTATACATGGAGAATAGCGTTGGGGATAGGATGCCTCCCTGGGGCACTCCGCTTTCTAGGTCGAAGGGTGGACCTAAATGGCTGCCAATTTGTAGCTGTGCTGTCCTGTTTTGGAGGTAGTCACATAGGATTCTTTCTATTTCTGCAGGTAGGTCTAGTTTTAGTATTTTATATGCTAGTCCGTTGTGCCACACTTTATCAAATGCCTTTGCTACATTGTGGGGTATGGGATGTTTGTGTTCGCTCAGGATGGGATGGAGAAAGGAAACTCACAATGTGCTCTCTATATACATGTTGTATTGGATGTACAATGCAGCTTGGTGCTGGGAAGGCAGCATGGTTACAAGCGTGATGTAGAGAGAGCTGGTTGGTGAGGATGCTCAGAGGAGGACCAGCTTGTGGGTCACCATGCTCGCCGGCGGGAGCGAGGACCGCCAGGCAGGTGGAGGAGGAGGAGGACCGCCAGGCAGGCGGAGGAGGAGGTGTTGCTGGCTGGTTGGTGTAGGTAGAAAGAGACAGATCACCACGAGGTCAGGTCTTAAATAGCGGGGGGTAGACGTGGCTTAGTAGTTGACCCTCTCTCCGTGATGTATGGCGGCGCTGGTTGACCTAGACCACGAGGCATGCACTGGGGAATTGGTGGGGTCGGCTACTCAGCGACAAACAGCGTTTGTAGGGGAGAAATCCACTACAACATCTCTTAAGACTACGTTTACTTGATTTCCTTGCTGTTATTCTTTGGCTATGATTTCTGTTATTATTGCTATTGCCTTGCCTTCTTTGGGAATGAAGATCATTTTTGCCCGCTTGAGGGCATCGGGAAAGTAACCAACGGATAAGGTTGAGTTGTAAATATTTATCAGTGCTTCCATTGGTCTGCTGGGCAGGTTTAATAACATGTTTCGGGTTATGTCTGTCATTCCAGGGGATTTTTTCTTTAAATTTGCGTAAGCAGTGTAGCAGTTCGTCATGGTTTATGAATTTATTGGGTTTTAGTCTTTCTGGGTTTCCTGCGTGGTAGGGAGTCAGTCTATTGCTTTGTTCTCTTAGCCAGTCTTTAATTAACTCCTCGTGTTCTTCGTCAAAACTTTCATTTTCTTCTTCTGATATTCTGAAGATCTTCCATTCTCTCCTGAAGGCCTCTTCTTTTTCATGGTCTGTATAAAGTTTTTGTCCGTTTTGGTCTTTAATGTAGTTTATTGTCTGTTTTTTCGTGCAGTAGTTTGTTGAGGTTTTGGCAGAGGTTTTCTGAGTCCTTTGTTGTGTCTATTTTTTATTAGATTGTTCCATTTTTCGTTATTAATTTGCCTGTACTCTTCTTGTAAGCCTTGTTGGATTTCTCTTATATTACGGAGTAGTTCTCTAGTGGGCCCTGTTTGTTCTATGAATGTCCTAATGTTATTATATTGTACTTGGAGTCTCTTGAATTCTTCGTTGGGTTTGTTACTCGGGAGGGTTCTGTATGACGTTATTGGGGTTGTCTGGTTGATTGCTTGTCTTATTGTGTTGTGTAGCTTGTCTACCTGTTCGTCAATTTCCTCGAGTGTTGCATCTTTTAGATTTATTTGTGGGTAGTTTTCCAATAACTCCTTATATTTCATCCAGTCTGTTTTGCTCATCTGGAGCCTTAGTGGTAATTTTATTTGAGTTGGGCTGGTGGAAATTGTGAATATTATCGGAATGTGGTCGCTTGGGGTGATGGGTCCTTGTTCTATGTGGTAGTTAAGAAATGCCTTGTTGTTGCAGAAGATTTTGTCGGGTGTTGAAACGCAGTTTGGTCCCACCCAGGTGGTGAAGTGCGGGCCAAAGTGAAGTAGTCTGCCAGTGTTGATTATACGTTCCAATGCTGTGCTGTGCGGGGTACAACTGTATAAGACTGAAAGGTCCCCCCACCAAGATTACTGCACCTTGTAATATTGGGATCACCTGATGAATCTCCACCCCAGTTTATTTCCCCTAAAGATTAACCACCAAACCTAACCTCTTCCCCACAAATAGCATTAAGGTGGTTAATCTTAAGGTGTAATAAGTTGGGGTGGAGATTCTTCATGGTATCTGAGCAAACCAATACCAGTACTGTACTGTGCAGTGTCCCAGTAACTAATGGAAGTTTTTCCTCTGTATCTCAAAGATTATTCCATATTTTTTTAGTTCCTTTCATGTGAATTTGCATTACTCAAGCTTCTGTACCTTGAGGGATGCCTGTACAGTATTTCACTAACTCACTTTTTATTGTGACAGAGGAAGGCGAGGTCGGGGAGGTAGACTGAGTGGACCGACCAACAAAGATGTATTAGAGAAACTGTCAAAAGTTCACCCACTTCCTTCACTCATCCTGCAGTGGCCCAAGATAAACTCATCTCTTATCAAGGTAAAACATATAGCATGCCACGTCCAGCATGTTCACTTGTGTGTTGTTACATGTTTTCCAGAAGGTTGGTTCATGCAGTACCTCTTCTTTAACATATCTATTAGACATCTCTACTTTCTCCTCCAAACTTACACCTATCTTACACAGACACACACCTCATCTGTACACTTCCCTGTATCCAGTACCTTTTAAATAATTGTCTTCATTTGATATTAACTTTTAAAAGCATAATAACAACTGAACACTCCAGGACACTTACTTTTCCTATATGATTGCTGGAGCCTTGGTGGGTGGAGAGAGGCACTGCACTTTGGCTAGTGACATGCTTAACATTAAGGTAGAAATATGTACAGTACTGTACAGTGCTGTGCTGTGCTGTACTGTGCTGTGCTGTACTGTGCTGTGCTGTGCTGTACTGTACTGTATTGTACTGTACTGTACTGTACTGTACTGTACTGTAGTAACTACCATATATAAACACTACAATCAGTGGTAGATGGAGGGCTGGATTATGATATGCTGAAGCCCTAAGCTATGTCAAGATTTAGAGGCCTCATACCATAACAAAAATAAAGTATATAATAATGAGAAAGGGTGTATTATATTCTAACATAAAGGTCAATAAAAAAATAAATGATAAAGCTATGTATTTACATATACAGTATACATAGGCAAAGATGCAATGAACAGTTTATAATCTAAATAACATATACATTGTAGAAAAGCCTTATTTCCATTATAAAATACCTTATGAATTCTTAACCAACAAATATGAAATTGAATACATTTAACATAACACATTGCACAGATCAACCCTTAGTAAATGGAAGCAGTAATGCAACTGGCACTGTCTCTTCTGTTTGAACATCACATAAAATTTAAAAAAATTTCTTTCATATTTTCCCAAAAGCAAAGTCATGGATGAAGTCGTCCAATGATAAGCTACAAATTTTTCACTTTCTATTCACATAATGCTTAATGCAGAGAACGTTTCTCACAGCATTGATGTCCATAGTTCATTCTTAATCCTTTTCAGCTACAGAATTTACCTTTCTCCTGAGCAGTTTGTTACCATTAGACTGAAAAGTAGCCACAATATTGCTTCTACATTAGGGAAGGCCAAATGAATCTTATCTTGGACGATGACTTGATAGAGGTCCTAGTGGCATAAATATCCTTTATTAGAATAATTTTTCTTGGTATAAACATTAAAAAGCTTTACTTCCCCAACAAGGTTAACATCAATATCATCAGGATAGTCTTTCACCAGAAACTTTACACTGTCACACAACTGTTCCTCTTCTAAATCAACAAAAAAAATTTATATTTTTGCAACATTATTGTACTGTATATGGCTGTCTTTTTTCACACTGATTTCAAGGGCATCCATCATGGGAATAAAGGATTTTACTCAAAATTTGTCTCTTGGAGAAATCCTGTCATCATCATTTGCTGCATCACCATCACTGACTTGTTTTTTCTCACTCCCTTTTATTCACACACCTGTACTCTACATCTGGCAGGTCTCCTTTTGCTTTGAGTCCAATTTCATCTAAATATTCTAGGATTTATTTCAAGAAGTTAGTGAGCAATGTGTAAAGCTTTGTACATGTGCTAAGGCCAATGTGTGGGTCCTGTAGGGTCTTGGTGGTTTGTGGAATTGATCTAACTAATGAACATGAAGACACATTCCAGTTCCTCAGTTTTCTCAGGAAGAATATCAGCTTTCTTCTTGTTTCACCTTCTTCACTGTCATTAATACATTAGTAAGGACATGAGTAAAAGTATCATTACAGTACATAATTGAATTACTGTATAATTCACCTATGGGCCTATGGCTGCAGTAGCCTTTGCTTCTCACCTAGTTTAATGTCAGCAGATGTTTTGGTACTGTAGAGTCAGGATTCAAGAATAATTTGAGTGCTGCCCAGGGTTTTGTAGAGGCTGAGAAGAAAGTATATATTTGTTACACAACAACAACCAAATTTACTGCATCTAGGCAGCAATCAACTGCCACACAGCTAACATGAGTCAGTGAATGGATGAATTGAAAAATTAATTTATATGGTTTCCAAATGATACTTTAAAATTATTAACAGTATTAGACTGAATTTTCTGACCTGCAAATGAAATAAGTTATTTAAGCCTGGGCAATTTGGTTCATAACAAATCTTTTTAATTACTGTATCTCAAACATATTTAGAGGGCCCTCATAATGTGAGGCCCTAAGCTGTAGCTTACTTACCTTGTGCCTAAATCCAGCACTGGCTGGATGCCATCACATTATCTGGCAGTTGGTGAGAGACTGGTGTTGTGTCAGGCGGCCAATTACAACTCGGCATGCGCACCGATAATTCAGACCGAGTCCAACTTTGGGGAGTTTTACCACAATGTGAGACTGAACCCATCTCAACTGTAAACTGAGTGAAATACCTTAGACTAACTCTTGACTTTCTTCATCTGGAGAATAAATTGTAGATAATATAATAAGTAAAACTAATGTTAGGATAAACAATTTGTTTATATAAATGTCATATGTCTCAGCTGATGCCCCTAGCAACCTTTGCTTGGCACTCATACAAAGTCACTTAGACTATTCCTGATCATCAATACACTCTGCCTTAACACAGAAGCTAAAAGCCAAATTAACGATTATTTAAAACAAGGGAGCGAGGTTAATCTTGACATTATAAGAGCTGAGTTTCTCCTTTTCTATGCTTGTTAAATTTATCAGAAAACTTTCACTACTTCTCCTGTAGACATTCTATTACTGATGAGAGACCTAGCCTAAGCAAAGGACCTTACTGTAAATAAGTATCTGATGGCTTTGCCAATTAGTAAGTCTGTGAATCTATCTATTTATTATTAAATCTATATAACTATTTATATCATCTAACCTTACAGAAGTGAAGAACAAGGGACAGGCTGATGACAGAGGCTACACCACCACCACCACCAGATGACAGGAGGCACCACCACCACCAGATGACTGAAGCAACACCACCACCACCAGATGACAGGAGGCACCACCACCAGATTATTGTGAGTACCCACTACTACTGTGATGACAGGAGGCACTACCACTCACTAGATGACTGGAAGCAATTACCTCACTACCAGATGAATGTGAAGTACCACTACCACTACCAGATGACAGGAGGCACCACTACCACTGTGATGACTGAGGCAACACCACCACCAGATGACAGGGGAGGGCTCACTGCTACCAGATGATTCTGGAGGCAACACTACTCACCAGATGACTGGAAGTAATTACCACTGCATGACAGGAGGCACTGCTACTACTACCTGTGATGCATTGTGAGGTACTACTACTGTGATGATTGCAATACCTGCTACTACTGTGATAAATTGAAGTACTACTACTTTTATTTATGTGAGGTACTACTACTACTAGAGACAGTGAGGCACTACTCACTACTAGATGAGGAGGTACCACTACCACTGTGATGACTGAGGCAAATACTCACTACCAGATGGTGGAGGCACCCAGCCACCACCACCACCACAGATGACTGAGGCAACAACACCACCACCAGATGCATTGGTGAGGCACCACCACCACCAGATGACAGGAGGCACCACCACCACCAGATGACAGGAGGCACCACCACCACCAGATGACAGGAGGCACCACCTCACCACCAGATGACTGGGAGGTAAATACTACTCACCAGATGACAGGAGTGTACCAGCCACTACCACTCACTACAGGATGACTGAGGCAAATACTCACTACTCAGATGACAGGAGGTACTACTACTGTGATGCATTGAGGCACTACTCACTACTAGATGACTGGAAGCAAATACTACTACTAATTTCACTTTTGTGATGACTGGGAAGTACTACTACCAGATGCAGGAGGCACTACTACTACTCTCAGATGTGACAGGAGGCACCACTACTCACTAGATGACAGGAGGCACCACCACCACCAGATGACTGAGGCAACACCACCACCACCAGATGCATTGGTGAGTGCACCACCACCACCAGATGACAGGAGGCACCACCACCACCAGATGACTGGAAGCAAATACCTCACCACCACCACCAGATGACTGGGAGGCACTCACCACCACTACAGATGTGACTAGACCACCTCGGACCCTCTCCCTACACCCTCCCCCTCACCTCGTACCCTCTCCTACACCCCCTCCTCACCCTGACCCTCTCTCCTTCACCCCCCTCTCACCTCAGACCTCTCCCTACACCTCCCCTCACCTCGGACCCTCTCCTACACCCTCCCTTACCCTCGACCTCTCCACACCTCCTCCCTCACCTGGCCCTCTCACACCTCCTCCCACACCCCAGGACCTCTCCTACACCCTCCCTCACCTCGGACCCTCTCCTACACCCCCTCCTTACCTCAGGGCCCTTCTCACCTCCTCCTCCCTCACTGGGCCCTCTCCTTCCTCCTCGTCGCCTCCAACCTTCCCTACATGTCCTTCCCTCACCTCCTCAGCCTCCGGACCCTCCCCTACATGTCCTCCCTCCCTCCTCCGTCCCTCTCCTGACCCTTCCCACATGTCCTCCCTCACCTGACCCTCTCCTACATGTCCCCCCCTCACCTCGGACCCTCTCCCACACCTCCTCCCTCACCCCGGGCCCTCTCCTACACCTCCTCCTCTCCCTCCGACCTCTCCTACATCTCCTCCCCACCTCCGACCCCTCTCCTACACCTCCTCCCTCACCTCCGACCTCTCCTACACTCCTCCTCACTCCCCACACCCTCCTCCCCACCTCCCGACCCCTCTCCAACACGTCCTCCCTCACTCCGGACCCTCTCCCACACCTTCCCCACCCTGGACCCTCCTCCTACCCCTCCCCTCACCTCGGACCCCTCTCCCTACACCTCCTCCTCACCTGACCCTCTCCCCACACCTCCTCCCTCCCCTCACCTGACCTCCTCCCACCCTCCCTCACCTCGAACCCTCTCCCACACCTCCCTCCCTCACCTCCGACCTCTCTCCACACCCTCCCTCACCTTGCACTCCCTACACCTCCTCCTCACCTCCGGACCTCTTACACCCTCCTTCACCTCCGACCCCTCTCCTACACCCCCCCCTCCTCACCTCGTACCCTCTCCACACCTCCTCCTCACCTAGACCCTTCCTACACCCCCCTCCCTCACCTCGACCCTCTCCCTAACTCCTCCCCACCTGTACCTCTCTCCTACACCCTCTCACTCAGACCTTCTCACTCCCCTTCTCACCAGACCCTCTCCTACACCTCCTCACTCGGACCCTCCTACACCCTCCCTCCTACCTTGACCCTTCCTACACCTCCTCCCTCACCTCCGGCCCTCTCTCCCCACACCCTCCTCCCCACACCTCAGACCCTTCTCCTACACCCCCTCCCTCACTCGACCCTCTCCCACACCCCCTCCCCACCTCGGGCCCTCTCCCTACACCTCCTCCCTCCCTCACCTGGGCCCTCTCCCCACACTCCCTCCTCTGTCGCCCTCCACCCTCCCTACATCTCCTCCCTCACCTCGGACCCTCTCCTACGTCCTCCTCACCTCCAACCCTCTCCCACACCCTCCTCCCTGCCTCCGACCCTCCTCTACACTCTCCTCACATCCGACCTTTCCTACACCTCCTCCCTGCCTCCGACCCCTCCCCTACACCTCCTCCCTCACCTCCGACCCCTCTCCCTACACCCTCCCTCCCTGCCTCCGACCCTCTCCCACACCTCCTCCCTCGCCTCCGACCCTCTCCTCTACACCTCCCCCTCACATCCGGACCCTCTCTACACCTCCCTCCTCGCCTCCGACCTCACCCACACGTCCTCCCTCACCTAACCCTCTCCCACCTCCTCCCTCACCTCCGACCTCTCTCCTACACCTCCTCCCTCACCTCCGACCTCCTACACCTCCTCCCTCACCTCCAACCTCCCTACACTCCTCCCTCGCCTCCGACCCTCTCCTACACTCCTCTTTCACCTCCAACCCTCTCCCCTACACCTCCTCCCTCACCTCCTGACCCCCTACACCTCCTCCCTCACCCTCCGACCTCTCCTCCTCTCCCTACACCTCCTCCTCACCTCCGACCTCTCCTACACTCCTCCCTCACCTCCAACCCTCTCCTACACCTCCTTCCTCACCTCCGGCCCTCTCCCCACCTCCTCCCTCACCTCCGACCCCTCTCTACCCCGTCCTCCCCTCACCCCTGACCCTCTCCTACCCGTCCTCCCCTCGCCTCCCGACCCCTCTCCCTACACCTCCTCCTCACCTCCAGACCTCTCCCTACACCCCTCCCTCACCTCAGACCCTCTCCCTACACCTCCTGTCTCCGACCCTCTCCTACACCCCCTCCCTCACCTCCGACCCTCTCCCACCTCCTCCCCTCACCTCCGACCCTCTCCCACCTCCTCCCCTCCCACCTCAGACCCTCTCCTACACCTCCTCCCCTCACCCTCGGACCCCTCTCCCTACACCTCCCTCCCCTCACCTCCCGACCCTCTCCCTACACCTCCTCCCCTCACCTCCAGGCCCCTCTCCTACACCTCCTCCCCTCACCTCCGACCCTCTCCAACACGTCCTCCCTCACCTCAGACCCTCTCCCCACCTTCCTCCTCAGACCCTCTCCTACACCTCCTCCCTCACATCCGACCCCTCCTACCTCCTCCCTCGCCTCCGACCCTCTCCCTACACCTCCTCCCCCTCACTCCGACCCTCTCCTACACCTCCTCCCTCGCCTCCGACCCTCTCCTACACCCTCCTCCCTCGCCTCCGACCCTCTCCTACCTCCCCCTCATCCCGACCTCTCCTACACCTCCTCCCTCCCGGCCCTCACCCTACGTCCTCCCTCACCTCCAACCCCTCTCCTCCCCCTCCTCCCTCACCTCGACCCCTCTCCCTACACCTCCTCCCTCACCTCCGGCCCTCTCTACACCTCCTCCTCCTCAACCATCTCCTACACCTCCTCCCTCGCCTCCGACCCTCTCCTACACGTCCTCTTTCACCTCCAACCTCTCCTACACCTCCTCCCTCCTCCTGGCCTTCTCCTGCTACACCTCCTCCCTCACCTCAGCCCTCTCTCTACACCTCCTCCCTCACCTCGACCCTCTCCTCACACCTCCTCCCTCACCTCCAACCCTCTCCCTACCTCCTTCCTCCACGTCCGACCCTCTCCCTACACCTCCTCCCTCACCTCCGACCCTCTCCTACACGTCCTCCCTCCACCCCCGACCCTCTCCCTACACGTCCTCCCCTCGCCTCCCGACCCTCTCCCACCTCCTCCCTCACCTCCGAACCTCTCCCTACCCCCTCCCCTCACCTCAGACCCCTCTCCTCACCTCCTCCCTCACCTCCAGCCCTCTCCCTACACCCCCTCCCCTCACCTCGGCCCTCTCCTACACCTCCTCCCTCACCCCGACCCTCTCCCTACACCTCCTCCCTCACCTCAGACCCTCTCCTACACCTCCTCCTCCCACCTCGGACCCCTCTCCCACCTCCTCCCCTCACCTCCAGCCCCTCTCCTACACCTCCTCCCTCACCTCAGGCCTCTCCTACACCTCCTCCTCACCTCCGACCCTCTCCCACACGTCTCCCTCACCTCAGACCCTCTCCTACACCTTCCTCCCCTCAGACCCTCTCCCCTACACCCCCCTCCCCACCTCAGACCCTCTCCTACACCTCCTCCCCTCACCTCAGACCCTCTCCCTACACCTCCTCCCTCACCTCCAGACCCCTCTCCTACACCCCCCTCCCTCACCTCAGACCCTCTCCTACCTCCTCCCTCGCCTCCAACCCCTCTCCCTACACCTCCTCCCTCATCCAAGCCCTCTCCCTACATCCTCCATCACCTCAGACCCTCTCCTACACCTCCCTCACCTCCAGACCCTCTCCCTACACCTCCTCCCTCCTCGACCCTCTCCCTACGTCCTCCCTCACCTCGGACCCTCCTACTCCTCCTCCCTCTCTACACCTCCTCCTCACCTCCGGACCCTTTCCCTACACCTCCTCCCTCACCTCCGACCCTCTCCTACACCACCTCCCCTCCCCCCCGACCCTCTCCTCACCCCTCCCTCTCCACCTCTCCCTACACCCCCTCCCTCTCTCCCGACCCTCTCCCTACACCACCTCCCCTCACCCCCGACCTCTCTACACCCCTCCCTCACCTCAGACCCTCTCTTACACCTCCCCTCACCTCCGACCCTCTCTATACCCCTCCCTCACCTCCGACCCTCTCCTACACCCACCTCCCTCCACCCCGGACCCTCTCCCACCCCTTCCTGACCTCAGACCCTCTCCCTACACCCCCTCCCTCACCTCGGACCTCTCCTACACCCCTCCCTCACCTCAGACCCTCTTCTACACCCCCCTCCCTCACCTCCAGACCCTCTCCTACACCCCCTCCCTCACCTCGAGACCCTCTCCTACACCACCACAACTATCGCCAGGCCAGCCAGGGCACCAGCCACCACCACCACCAGATGACTGAGGCACCAGCCACCACCAGATGACTGAGGCACCACCACAACTATCGCCAGATGACTGAGGCACCAGCCACCACCACCACCAGATGACTGAGGCACCCACCCACCACCAGATGACTGAGGCACCAGCCACCACCACCACCAGATGACTGAGGACCACCACCACCACCAGATGGCTGAGGCACCAGCCACCACCACCACCAGATGACTGAGGCACCAGCCACCACCACCATGACTGGAGGCACCACCACCAGACAGATGACTGAGGCACCAGCCACCACCACCACCAGATGATTGAGGGCACCACCACCACCACCACCAGATGACTGAAGCACCAACCACCACCACCAGATGACTGAGGCACTACCACCACCAGTTGACCACCACGACCACCAGATGACTGAGGCACCACCACCACCCTACGACTGAGGCACCACCACCAGATGACAAGAGGCTACATCACCAACACCACCAATGTGACAGGAGGCTACAGTAGCACCAGCTCTGTAGACCACTGTAGCTCCAGCTCTGCAGACCACATACCACAGTAGCACCAGCTCTGTAGACCACATACCACAGTAGCACCAGCTCTGTAGACCACAGTAGCTCCAGCTCTGTAGAGCACATACTACAGTAGCTCCAGCTCTGTAGACCACATACCACAGTAGCACCAGCTCTGTAGACCACATACTTCAGTAGCTTCGTTTTTTGTTAAAAGAAAAAGGTTTTCTAAATATTAAAATTTCAGTGAATAAACTTTTGATTAATCACCCTCATACAACCTGACCCCAGACATCTTGTGTCACCCTCTTAGGTCTATTACATTATGTACTATATAATAATCTTGTATGTGTAGTTCACACCCTAATGTGTACTTTATTGTATTACAAATATTGTTTCTCTTGTTTTATGGTGTAATGTATTAATAAAGCCTCCAAGTGCTCAACTCTAGTATCCATGATGTATTTTTCCTGAACATGTGATAAATTCCCAATAAAGATCAATAAACTGTTGAAATTGTCCCTGTTTAACCTTATTGAGACGTCATGTGTAAATTAATGGACTGACAGCATAAAATAAGGACATTGTTAATAAATTATAAAAATACGACCGTTTTCAATATTGTAATACTCCTAAAAGCTGTTAATAAATAAAGCACATTATATACACAATAAAACTCTTGTTAAAGCGGCTGATAAGGGCTAAGAATACACACATAACCAGAAATAATACCAATAGGAGTATATGACCACCATGAACAGTAAGCAGTACTCTTAACCTCTGAGCTAATGGTTCATCTCTGTATCACCAACCAACCCAACTACTTCACTACTGTTGGCGGCAGTGAAGGACAGACCGAGACTCTCAACATATAAACAAGCTGAATAGAAAAATTATAAAAATTATCTATGAGGTCAATATTTAATATATTGGCTGCGACTGAACACTGATTAAATATAATAGTTACTCCTGCTCCGTTTTGTGTGATTAAATATAATAGTTACCCCTCCATTTTGTGATTAAATATAATAGTTACCCCTCCATTTTGTGATTAAATATAATAGTTACCCCTCCGTTTTGTGATTAAATATAATAGTTACTCCTGCTCCGTTTTCTGTGATTAAATATATCTGCTCCGTTTTCTGTGATTGAATATAATAGTTACTCCAAAAACTGCCGCTCATAGAGCCGTTTCGCTTTGTTTTTGCTTTTCTTTTCCTTCTGGGACACTGTTTTCGTTGTATTATTCCCTTAAAGTTAATGAAAAGTGAAATCGGGCCACAAATTTGACGTTTTTACGTATTTTAACGTATATACAAGTTCGAAGCTTCAAATGCTTCAATGAAGCAAAAAAATGATTCAGTGAAGCTTCGTGACGTCACTGTGAACCTTGACATATAAGGCCTCGACTAACTCGCCTTCGTCCCTTTCCTCACCGACCACTCGCCACTCACTGACTGCAGCTGACAAGCAGGTAAGCGCCGCTCCTCTAGTCTCCTTTATATACGTGTACATTTTTTGCCCGACTGCCTACAGTCAAAATGGCCAAGAGAAATGGTTATTCTTTTGGGTAGTGTTTAATATACTTAATTATGGCGTAATAAATGCCGATTTAAGTCAAAAACTTGCCGGCCGGTTGTTGCAGTTCATAGGGTCGTATCCCCAAGTTTCACTGGGCTCTAAGGCCCATGGTACCTACTGTGCAGCTTAAACAAATACATTAGTATTATATTAAGTGGCTCTCTAACGTCTAACCAGTAATTTCTTAATGTTTTTGGCAAATATACCGCCAAATGAGTCATGACAAACGAGCCTAAACTATGAGCCGGTAGTGAGTAACGAGCGTAAACCGTTCATCAGTATTTAGGTAATAATTAACCAGTAAGTGAGTACAATGACCAGATTGGGTTAGATTACCGTTTTATTTATTTTTTATTTCTTGCTTCGAAGCCCAACACACTTATGGGGGAGCCGGGTGGTCATAACTCAACAACTGCGCAGTTCATCACCACCACTGTATTCACCATTGACAACTGCGCCGCATTCACTAGATATAACACAAATAGAAGTATTTTTTGCGGAATTAAGATGTATTTTTACTGGCTAGTTCTTTGCTTACTCTTTAGCTACGATTTCTGGGAGTTGAAACAATTTATTAAAGGTTCTAGCCGGGCGAGGCGAGCGAGGAGGGGGAGGGAGCCGGGGGGGTGTGGCGAGGAGGAGCCGGGCAGGGGTGATGGAGGAGGAGGCCGGGCAGGGGGTGAGGCGAGGGAGGGAGGAGGGAGCCGGGCGGGGTGAGGCGGAGGAGGGAGGAGGAGGGAGCCGGGCGGGGTGGCGTGGGAGGGAGGAGGGAGGAGCCGGGCGGGGTGAGGCGTGGGAGGGAGGAGGCCAGGCAGGGTGAGGCGTGGGAGGAGGAGCCAGCCGGGCAGGGGTGAGGCGAGGGAGGGAGGAGGAGGGCCGGGCGGGGGTGAGGCAAGGGAGGGAGCCGGGCAGGCGAGGTTGAGACGGGTGAGGTAGGGAGCCGGGCCCAGCGGGAGCAGGTTGGGGAGTCAGGGTGAGGAGGAAGAGGAAGGAAGGAAGGAAGGAAGGAGGAGGGAGGAGGGAGGGAGCCGGGCGGGGTGAGGCAAGGAGGGAGCCGGGCAGGGGTGAGGCAAGGGAGGAGAGGGAGCCGGGCAGGGGTGAGGCAAGGGAGGAGCCGGGCAGGGCGAGCTGGAGACAGGTGGTGGGAACCGGGCTTGGCGGGCAGTGGGGAGTCGAGGAGGAGGGAGGGAGGAGGAGGGAGCCAGGCGGGGTGGGGCAGGGAGGAGGAGGAGGGAGCGGGCAGGGTGAGGCAGGGAGGCCGGGCAGGCAGGCTGAGACAGGGTGAGGTAGGGACCAGGCTTGGCGAGGCGAGGTGGGGAGTCGGGGGGAGGAGGAGGAGGAGGAGGAAGGGAGGAGGGAGGGAGGAGCCAGCCAGCCGGTCTGGGTAGGCGAGGCAGACAGGAGGCCGGGCCGAGGCGGGGGATGGGCCGGCCGGGCGGGGGAGCAGATGGGAGCCAGGCAGGCGGGTGAGGTGAGAGCCAGGCAAAGTGAGGAGGTGAGGTAGGGGCCGGGCTTGGGTGAGGTGGGGCGAGGCGTGGGAAGGGCCAGGCGAGGTGGGGGCCGGGCAAGGTGAGGTGGTGGGGCCGGGCTTGGTGAGGTGGGGGGCGAGGGCAGGGGCAGGGCGAGGTAGGGAGCCGGGCAAGGTGAGGTGAGGTGGGGCCAGCAGGTGGTGTGGTGGGGGTGAGGCAGGGATGGAGCCGGGCGGGGATGGGAGCGGGGCGGGGAGGAGCGGGGCTGGGCTAGGCTAGGCTAGGCTAGAGGGCGAGACGTTTCAGAATACAGTATATATTAAATCCCGTAACATTAAGGTTCCTGGTAATTTTTTTAAGTGGACAACCATGGATTTTACAATCGGAAAAACCCATTGGTCAACAACCAAAAAGCACCATAACTAACCTAACAACGTAACGTAACGTAACCTGGAGGTTCCTTGGTTGTCTCCTGGTGACAAAAGGTCCATTTGTATGTGCACACAACAATTAGAAAGTAAAACAAAATATTAGCGTATTTGTGTTTAGATCGGTTATGACCTCCATTTCCGTCGGAAATTGGTCGTTTTTTATAGATTTTTTTGGTGAGGTGTTTCCCGAAAAAAATATTGGCTCGGCGAATGAAAAATGCAAAAAAAAAAAAAAACTATAAAAACATAAACCGGACCTAATCTAACCGACTCGCCATTTGTTGGAATCCCTTATTTCGTACCTTATTGGCCTGGTTCTCGTTGGAGTTACCACATGTGTTGGTCTTGACGACACTTACATTCGTTCTTGCATTAATGACACTTTACGGAGGTCGGGACAACACCATGAGATCTAAAAATGCTATAGTTTTAGTGTGGAGGTAATGGTTTATGTAAACAGTTGGGGACAGTGAGTACACGTGGTGTAGTGGTAGATGGAAGTTGCAAGTTTAATTTTCATTCTACGTAAATTACAACTTTAAGCATGTTGCAGGTGACAGCTGGTGTACTTGAAGGCCAATGGAGAAGTGACAGAACCTTGAGCAAGACTTAACACCCAGCATGTTACTTCAGCCTCATCAGTTAAGTTACTTATATATTATCTTAGCTATTATGGTCAGCCCATAAACCACTCAACACTGTGCTCCTACACTGGGCAGTGGAGGGTGTGTGTGTGGGACCTGGCTGACTGAATGTTGGAGGGCTCTGGAGGACTGTGTGTGTGTGTGTGTGTGTGTTGGAGGGCTCTGGAGAACTGTGTGTTGTAGAGCTCTGGAGGACTGTGTGTGTGTGTGTGTGTGTTGGAGGACTGTGTGTGTGTGTGTGTGGCGAGGCCTGGAAGAACTGTGTGTGTGTGTGTGTTGGAGTGGCTCTGGAGAACTGTGTGTGTGTGACTGACTGTGTGTGTGTGTTGGGATTTGGAGAACTGTGTGTGTGTGTGTGTGTGTGTGACTGACTGTGTGTGTGTTGGAGGCTCTGGAGAACTTGTGTGACTGACTGTGTGTGTGTGTGTTGGAGGGCTCTGGAGAACCAAAGTACTGACCCAGTGTTGAGTGGGCTCTGGAGAACTGTGTGTGTGTGTGTGACTGACTGTGTGTGTGTTGGAGGGCTCTGGAGAACTGTGTGTGTGTGTGTGTGACTGACTGTGTGTGTGTGTGTGTGTTGGAGGCTCTGGAGAACTGTGTGTGTGTGACTGACTGTGTGTTGGAGGGCTCTGGAGAACTGTGTGACTGACTGTGTGTGTGTGTTGGGAGGACTGTGTGTGTGCGTGTGTGTGACTGACTGTGTGTGTGTGTGTTGGAGGGCTCTGGAGGGCTGTGTGTGTGTGACTGACTGTGTGTGTTGGAGGGCTCTGGGGAACTGTGTGTGTGTGTGTGACTGACTGTGTGTGTGTGTGTTGGAGGACTGTGTGTGTGTGTGTGTGTGTGTTGGAGGACTGTGTGTGTGTGTGTGTGTGTGTTGGAGGGACTGTGTGTGTGTGTGTGTGTGTGTTGGGACTGTGTTGGAGGACTGTGTGTGTGTGTTGGAGGACTGTGTGTGTGTGTGTGTGTGTTGGAGGACTGTGTGTGTGTTGGAGGGCTCGGTATTATTGCAGTTTCGGCCAGTACATGCCTGACTTTTAACCATCCCCAACCTTTAGATCTCCTTATTGGAGTATTTCTAACACCATTTTAACCAGGGAGCAAAGAATGTCAGAAAGGAGTTTTAAAGATTTCCATGCTTTTTTGGGGGGGGGGATATAATTCTAAAGAGGGTGCTTTCCCCTGGAAATAAAGGCCACATTTCATTGAATCGACCCAAAATACACAGGATAAACGAATTTCTAAACTACGAGGGCATATTCGACGAAACTGCAATTTTACAATGGGCTCTGGAGAGCTGTTTGGACTGTCTAGATAAACTGAGCTGGGAGTCAAATTAAGATTAGCTGTAGAGATTTGGGAAAGCTTAATAAAGTGCTATAAAAATGTACAGGACTAAATGCCAATTAGTTACAGTATTAGTGAGCATTAGTAGTAGTAATGTGATTAATAGTAAGTAAAGCTGGTTGTTAGTAGGTGGGTTTTAACTAACAAATTAACTAACCTAATCAGCCTAACATAGATAAAATGTAACTAATCTAGACTAACCCAAATTAATATTAAGTTACCTATTATATAGTTTATATATTGGATAACAAATATATTAAAAATGTAACTTAAAATTTGCCACAAGTTAACTGATCATGAATTCAGAAAGTTAAGCTAGAAAAAATTTCACTTGTTTAAATTATTAAAAATCAATAGCTTGCGTACTTTGCAGTTTCCTTTTCAAAATCTAATCGTGTACTGTACTGACTTTCTCCTCAGGTTAAGCTGGCCAGAAGTAACATCATACTGAACCTAAGGAGAAATAACTTAAAATGCCAGAACAGGTAAAGTCAACTTACGGAGTTTTATTTAGGCAAGGGAAGCTTGTGGGACTTGTGAAATCATTAAACATTGTGTGGGTGTGGCTTGTTGTAATTAGGGTGGGGGGGGGGGGACAATATGGCTTGTGTGTTGGCATATGGGGTGAGCAGGTGTGTTGGTAAAGTTTTTCATTCAAGCTAAATGTGACCAAGTTGTCAAGGGGAATACCTAAGGGGGCTTGAGGGGTGGGAGGAAGGGAGGGAGGATTCAGTAAGTGAACAGTGGTAAACTGTTGTGTATGAAGCAGTGTGGAGAGATTTAGTAGTGTAGCAGTATTGGTGATGAAGGCTTGTTATGATTGGCTATACTATTGTTGTGCTAAATGTTAGTTGTTGAGGTATCAAGAAAACTAAAACACTAATGCAACTTAAAATAAGATCTTTTGTAGATAAGGTATTTAAATAAACAATTGGGGATAGTATAAGTACATATAGTCTGGTGGTAGATGGAAATTGTATGTTTAATCTTCATTGTACATAAATTACAACTTTAAACATGTTGCAGGTGACAGCTGACGTACGTGAATGCCAATGTAGAGGAAGTGACCGACACCTTGAGCAAGATGTAACACCCAGCATGTTACTTAAGCCTTCTTAGGTAAATTACTTATGTACCTTAGTATGGCCATCCCCAAAAACTAATGGAAGTAAGACTCGAGAGGAGGAACTTACTTTGTGTGAAGGGTAGGAAAGGAGGAGCATTGGGCGGTGGAGGGGCGCTCGTACAGTGCAGGGGCGCTCGTACAATGGGGGTGGGGCCTCGTGCAGTGGGGGTGGGGGCCTGCATTGCAGTGGGGTGGGGCCTTGCGTATAGTGGGCGGACAGCTGCAGTGGGGTGGGTGCCTTTCGTGCAGTGGGGTGGGTGCCTCGTGCAGTGGGGGTGGGGCCTCGTAGTGGGTGAGACGCTTTAGTACAGTGGGAGCGCTCATGCATGGATGGTGGTGTGCTCAAGCAATGGTGAATGGAGTGCGGTTAAAGTGTGATGCAAAAAAAATAGCATGTACTATGTGAAGGCATGTGGGGATGATGCCTAGATGAAGACTGCTGCAGCCGAGAAGAACAATGCTCTGTGTGGGTGATATGGGAGGGTGTTTGGTGTATGGATATATCATATATATAAGAATGCAAGTTTAGATTCCAAGAAATTCTGGAGTAAATGTTGTGTATTGTTGGTAATACATTAAGGCCTAATTAAGATTGATCTAAATCAAACCATGTTGCAGGTGGTTTGGTGTGTACAAGATAGATGGATCAGACACAACAGATGACCATTCTGTCTAGCATCCACACCTTGAGGACCACCACCTTACTAGAACAGAATTGGTGTTCTGTACACTACTGTAAATAGTGTTTACTGCAGTATAAGTTAAAGTATTACTGAAACCTTTTTTATAATTTAGCAAAACTTGATATATTATAAAATAGTGCATTTAAGAACATACATTTCAAGTTAACCTCAATATTGTGTATTGGTTTGTGATATAAAATAAGCTTGATTTAATTCAGATGTAGAGTATCTAAAAGCAAATATAATCATGTTGCAGGTGGTTTGGTGTACAAGATAGATGGACCAGACACAACAAGGTGACCGACTGTCTAGCATCCGACACCTTGAGGACTACCACCTTACTTAGAAAAGAACAGAATTGGTGTTCTGTACCACTGGTAGAATAATGTACTGTAATACTAAAAAGTTAAGACTGAAACCTTTTTTATATAATTTGTAAAACTTGATATATTACTTAAAATAGTGCATTTAAGAACATACAGTACAAGTTAACCTCAATATTGTGTGTATTAGTTTGTGATATAAATAAGCTTAATTAATTCAGATGTAGAGTATCTAGAAACAAATATATCATGTTTTGCAGGTGGTTTGATTGTCAAGATAGGTGGACTAGACACAACAAGGGTGACCAACTACTGTCTAGCGTACACCTTGAGGACTATTTATTACTAGAAAGAGCAAATTGGTGTTCTGTTACACTGTATTAGAATAGTGTGCTGTAATGCTCAAAAGTTAGAGAGATTATGAAACCTTTTTTTTTATATAATTTGTATGTTTTGATATATTACTTAAAATAGATACGTTAGAACATACAATTACAAGTTAACACTCAATAGCTGTATTGGTTGTGATATAAAATAAACGGTGATTCAGATGTAGAGTATCTAAAAACAAATATAATCGTTGCAGGTGGTTTGAATTTATTACAAGATAGATGGATAGGAAAGACACACACAACAAGGTGACCGACTGTCTAGCATCCCACACCTTAAGGGACCTACCACCTTACTAGAAAGACAAGTTGGTGTTCTGTACACTACTGTAAGGCAATTGTATACTGTGATTAGAAGTCAATGCGAATATTTTGATTATAGTTGTAGAAAACTTGAGAAAATGGCAAAAATGCTGTATATCATTCAGACTGTGAATTGGACATGATTAAAAATACACAAAGGAAATTATTACATATAAGATACATTATGTACAGTAGCATTAGTAACTACAGTGGTAGGTCACAGTTTAGTTTATGGTTGCAAAAATTTCCCATTTTATAATACTGTATATTATTCGTCCCACAGGTGAAGTATCAGCAAGGTGTAAAACGGATACAGGACATCAATCGGCGGATTGAGAGGTTGAATATCTCACTTACGGATCAAACTCTTCAATTGGTTTTATAAATTAAATGCCAATATCTTGGTATTTGTTCCTACAGTGTGGAAGCCTCTAAGGTAGCTTGTTGAGGATGGCGTTGTACGCAGGGGCGTTTGTACCAGGGGAGGCGTTTGTGCAGGGGCGTTTGTGCAGGGGCGTTTGTGCAGAGGCGTTTGTAGTAGAAGGCACTTACACTGGTAGAAACACCTGGTAAGAGCACTTCTACTGAGGTATTTATAATAGTTTATTACTCCTAATGTCTGTGTATAACAAAATAAATAAATATTGAATGAACTTCGTTTTCATATTCCAGTTGAATGATAATAGTTCTAAATAAACCACAAGTACAGTGGGGCACAACAAACTATGTGAAGCATGAACTAAGTGATCTAACTTGGATACACATGATGGCTACTGGGTAACAGAACGCAATGCCAACCACATTAATTACGCCATAATTATCACCCAGGTGAAGCATCAGGTACCATTCATTATGCGTGCAGCAGCACAAACTAATGCCCATCATGATGCCTAATGGGTACATATCAAAACTACTAGATACTGGTGGCACAAATAATGCATTTTGAGTCCACCGGAGCGCGCCTCGGACAAAGTTTTGACAACCTTACGGAAGGAGCGGACGTCACCGTGTTCATTTTGAAATTCGCCGGCCATGACGTGAGGTTTGTTTTGATTACATACATACTATTAATTTTAGTATTGTATATATACAGTAAATAAATGTGAAAGTACGGTAAAGAATTTTGCACTAAATGTTGACAATCTGGACACTGCGCAATTGCTACAGATAGGTGTTTTTACCTGAAAAATATAGAAGAAAAAATCTTGTAAAATTGTAATAAACAACTTGCTGATAATGTGGCGGCCCCTCCACCATCACTGATGCTTATCTGCCGAGAAAATAATAATGGTAGTGGTACTGTAATGTGATTTCTCGGGACGGGGGAGAAAGATATGTAGTGATGTTGTCATTACAAGTTTTGATTTTCTTCTGTGCTAATGTTTGGTAATGTAGGTTTGGGAACATATTTGGGAATAGTGTATAGTGGTGATATATACTGTGCCTGGACGGTGCAGGTATAAACCAGGCTATATGACGGGATATTTTGTATTTCTGTATAACTTCTGGACTGTTTTGTATATTGCAATAAATGTGGTGTATGCATATGAAAATAAAAAATATGCTGTATTTCAATTCTTTATTTTGTATTACTATCTACAAAATATGAAAGAACATAGTTTTAATGTACAGTACATATGTAATTTTTTCTATGTTGCTGACAGAACATATTACCTTTTTCAGAACAATTTATAATGTAAGTTTGTTAGGTGGCGATGGTAGATACAACACTGCAGTGGCCCTCCTCCTTTATCGGACTTAGGACGGCATGTTAAACTGAACAAGGCGGAAAAATATACTCAGTGTCTTTATTTGTACTATCTAAGAATGTAAAACAAAAAATTTTGTGCAATTTTATATGTGAAATTTTTTTCTATGTTGCTTTGACAGAGACACATTACCTTTTCCAGAACAATTTATAATAATGTAAGTGTTGAGTGGCGATGGTAGATACAACACTGCAGTAGCCCTCCTCCTTTATCAGACGGGACGGCATGTTGACTGAACAAGTAGTTACTACTGTGCATTCTCGTCTAACTACGGTGCTGTTAGTGCTATCAACTATAACTTGAAAAACTTTTGCTTTATTACCCTGCAAAGCATGGTAGGTCAGTCAACCACACAAACAAACCTGGAATGCAAAAACTTTTAAAACATAACATTCATAAATACTTGCATATAGACATTATATATTGTCATAAATTACTACCTGTTTGGAGGCGTTCTCGACAGTCTGGGCGAACCACCTCGGGCGCACAATCTGAAAATGAAAAACATGGTCCCATCCCACACACATTAAAATTTGCTGGGAGGTTGGGTGTAATGAAGAAGGTGTGTGGCCATGGAGGACCTCCACACACACCCCTCACTCCCATCCATACACTCACCCTCTCTCACACTAACTTTCATTGTACTAGCTTGCCTCCCTCCCAAACACCCTACACCACCAGCCTCCCTCACAACCTCCCTACCACTTCTCCTTAGCCTCGCGCCTACCATACAGCTTCCTTGTCACCCCAACCTTTTGGGTGTGTGTGGATGGGAGGATATTACATGGGGAGGGAAGAGGTGTGGATGGGAGGAGAAGAGGGAGTGGTTAGGGAGAGAGTGTACAGTTTGGGGAAGAAGGGAGTAATGGTGTGCCATGCCCTCCTCAGCTACCAAAACACATCGAAAATATTCTACAGAGACAATTTGGTGTAATATTGTATTTGGCAGTTCATTTTGGGGTTTAGTGGAGAGGCGCCTGGCAGAGACTTGCTGTGTGTTGGCAGGGCAACAGGATAAGGCCTGAAGCTTATAGCACTGTTTACCCTCACTTATACCATGTATTATTGTATGTCTAATGGTTATTATTTACAATGGTGCCTGTATCAATTATAATATAATATAATATCTGGGTTGTTGTTACTGTGTGTAACTGATGAGATAGGAACCGTAAGGAAGATAGAACATGATTAATTAACCAACAGCTCCAGCGTTTATAGTTTAGGTGGGCAAAATGTTTCTTCTTGAGTGCTATGTCCAGAGAGTGGGACATCTTGGAGTATCACAAGAGAATAATGATTAAGCATTTATTATGTATTATTAATTAATAATAATACCCATCCTATCACAAATCCCATTAAAATGTAGATAATCTCACATTTATTGGTCCAAATACCCTTGGGATATTTGGCCAGCCAACTGATCCAAATAACATAGTGGTGGGTCCCATTAAATACCAGTACTGTGTTTATATCCACAGTTGTTCTGTGGACGATGTAAGCTCAATAATGGTAAAATTTCTCTTAGCACCACCAGCATTTGGAGTTGCATTACCTTGATGGATCTTAATCATTATATAAATTTGATTCTATTGTTTGCAATTTTTGGTACAAATTTATAAATTAAAAGTTTTGATTTTAGGAAAATTTGACATTTCCTCACAGTATAGGACAAGGTGTACAGTGTTATGTAATTAATTTTTAGTATATAAGTATACTGTATTGATTGCACCAGTATAGAATGTAACAACCCTATCTAATATACTAGCCTAACAGATGGACTATGCCAAGATCTGATTGGTTAACAAACCAACTACTAAATTAAAATATTCCTTATACAGAACTTAATTTGTGACAGAAATGTATAGAAGAAGTGTTTAGAATAGTCAAAACTACTGATTGCAACCATAAAATTATCAAAAAAATTTTGGTGTAAACAAATGACATATCATATTAACTAATAAAATTACTTACAACTTTTTATTTTATTTATAAATACCAGTATTTTTATCTACTTCTCTATGAACATAATCACATGGGCAGGACATAGAAGTGGCGGAGAAGTGCAGATGCTCTGATGAAAGAACAGTCATATGACACTAAAATGATGTCTCCACGCTCTCTGTTTACAAGAAAATTAACTTCTTACTGTAAACAATCTACCAAAAATCTGGCCACCTGTTGTTATCCGCTCTTAAACCAATAAACACTGACTCGATAATACTGTACTTCCTTTGTCAATAAATGATAGACTCATTTGTACATATGTCAGTACCTAAAATTGATTGTGTTATTTTTCTTTTGGCTTTACTATCCAATTCATGAGTCTCATGCATCTCTGAAATCCCTTATTTATTTTTTTTGTTTGGTTAAGTAGGATCTGACTCTTCTATGCACATTATAAATTATGAGAATTATATTGAATCCGTCCATAATGCGGTTTGTCATTTGTTCTTTTGAGTAATATTGGTTAATAGGTGGCTTTTATGTTCTTCTGCTGTTTCCTCTAGTTGCAGCTTCTTGTTGGTATCAAATGATAGAAATTATCTGCAAAAGACCCATTGTCAAATTTATAGCGAGTGGGGGGCCTGTTCTTGACCAAGATGGCCAAGATTATTTATTAATATATATAATAGTTCTAATTCTAAATGGAAACCATTTAAATCCATTATTCTTATTAAATGCTTTATTTAAACAACTCAATAGATGGCTCACATCTGTTTTATATACTGTATATGAATTCTTCCGTTACTGACTACACTTTTATTATGTAAATGGTTTCAAAATTTTCAGCATTACAGGAAAAGAATTATATAAACTGAAGTAACGACAACTGAATATAAGGCCATTTTCTCAGTAACTCCATGAATAATGGCGAAAAGGAAACTGATGATGTTTTATGAAAAAATGACAACAAAAGAAATAAATGAAAATATTGCTTCATTAATAACTTCTGTACACACCAGTGCCTTACTCATTATATGACGAAAACATTATTCTTTCATTAATTTAATTTTACCTCCAAGTTCCAATTTCTGTGGCAGGTGCATTCTGGTCAGGCCAAACACTTTTTACATTGTAGGTCATTGAATGCCTATATTGTGTATGTGCGTGACAGTTGAAGGTATTCACTCATGCAAGTGCGCACCAAATATTGAAACAGCCGCCTCATGAAAGCATATTAGCCTTGAGTTAAATATTTCAGAAAGGATATGATGTTTCTGTCTTTGAGAACTGGGCAGTAAAATTCTTCAATAAGTCCTTAGCAACATGACATTCACTTACCAGAAGAGACGACTCAGTATGACACCTATGAAGTTTAATAATAGGACAAGATTTTCCGGGTATCGCTTGGTCTTTGGATTCTGGCCAACGAGCTAAAATAACTAAGCGTCTCACCTTATGTTACTATTAATTGGGTTTACCAAACCCAGTTATCTAAAATATTGTAGTACAGTTGATGATGTAAATCAGCTTCACTATCAAAATAAGACATTAGAATGTCTTCTGATTTGTTTCAGTGCACAACGTGTTGGAGCAGTTTGTTTATATAGCATTAATGGCGTCCTAGTGGATCAGTTTCAATCTGAATCGTTGGAACAACTCATTGGTAGGGAGTGCCAGCCTATAATATTCCCAGGAACTTATAAAACTGCTCTCCAAATTTTTTTACAGCATGTAGAATAGAATATATTCAAAACTTGTAAATAACATTGATAAAGTCTTGTTCCATATGAAATTAAGACCGTCAGTTACTTTCGTGATCATGTGCACTGTGCGCATCAATAACTGATCCCACCAATACAGATTCAGGTACAGCAGACAGTGTTTAGAGAAAAACAACAGCATATACTTAAGAAAACCTCTACCGTGTAGATGGTGCCTGGCCCTTTCATTAGTAGAATACTTTAGAGAGAAAAAAAAAGTTTGTCCATTATTTACTTTGCTGGAGACAAACTTTAGATTGTGATAAAAAAAGGCATTTCCTTAACCAGGAGTTCCTGTACGGGTTATGTGAGGTTATACTCAGTCATGCACGACTTCTTAGAAGTGCACAGTCCTCAACCTCCCCTCACGCCCCGGTGATGACTATAGAGACAAATAACAACTTATGCGTTTAATGTCATGGTGGCCCCGTTAAGGTGTAGGAAGCTATTTTACATGAAAAAGTATAACATATGAACAAAGAATGATATTAAAAGAACACAACAAGAAAGAAAATAGGCGCAGAGGGTAAGAACCAATGGAAAATCCCTCGGCTCTGGATTTTCCTAAACCTCCAGAGGCAGTACACTGAGATGGACTGCGTCTGAAGTGAGATCTTCGTGCCATGACAGACCAGATGCTTCAAGTGTCAATGACAGTCACCCACCCAAAAATGCAAGGCCCAG